AATTTTCCCTTTTTGGGGGCGATAATGTTCATTTGAACCGTTCTCGCGGTGTGCATCAATTGAATTTAAAACCTGCATTTATTTCTGAACATAATTTCAAGTGTTGTTTATTCGTTATTGAATTTATATAATATATATCTAATAGAATCGTCATTTCGAAAAAAAAAAAAAAAAAACAATTTCTACTTTTTTTTATTTTCCTTTTATTATGGTTCTCTTTTCAGTATGTGGTTTATATTTAAAGAAAATTGTCCATTTTTGTGTGTATATATAAAACCGATTTTTATTGAATTGTTGCACATATCTGTTTGTAAAGGTGCATTTAAGTCTAGACAATTATCAACACACAAAGGGCCTCAGTCTTGATATCACAGGAATGTATACGAGTCTGACTGAGTGTTGACTGTATGGTGCGTCCAAACAAAATTCTGGATTTACCTCCTTCTGGAACGCTCAACACCAAAACTTTTAAAGCTATACATGTATAAATATTCACGAAGGAATAATAAATGCGCAGCCATGTTCTGGAGTTCAAGGACTTATTTTCTTTGCTATATTGGAAAATGACACTTTATATTGTTTCCGTGCAATAACTTCTGAACCTTTCTGCTAATGCTTTTTAAATGTTACTGATGATAAAATGGAGGTCAAGTTCGATATCGACAATTTTCACTTTTACTGGTCAAAAGTTATCATCGGTCCTTAATAGATTAGAAAACTGCACGTTATGTCGTTTACCTGTAATAACTTATGAACCATTACACCAATACTTTTCAAATATATATATGTTGTTACTGATGACAAAATGGAAGTCAAGTTCGATATTGACGATTTCAACATGCACCGTTTAGGAGTTACTGTCCTTGATAGATTTTAAAATAGCACTTTATGTTTCCGCGTAATAAATTATGAACCGTTCAACCATTACACACTGGAGTACCAAATTTTTATGCTGTAACTATGAAGAGTTTATTTGATATGTTGTTAATGACAAAATGGAGGATAATTTCGATATTGATAATTCAGTTCTTTGCCGTTCAGGAGTTATGGTCTTTAATAGATTGGAAAATTCAAAATAGGCACAGAATGTGGTAGGTCAAACAAACCTAAAAGCTCCTTCAAAATACAGAAAACCCGGTTGTCCCGGTTGGGACCTTTTATAGCTGATTATATATATTTCATCCACGTCATTTGGACTGTTGTGGATAGTTGACTCATTAGCAATCAAACCCCACCTATTTATTTTAATATTGTTAAATCAATTTTGACAAAAAAAGGTGTGATGACTTTAACTGCTAGTTTGCCATTAAACTTCTTTCTGGTAATTTGTTCATTGTATGTTTGTTAGTTATTTTATCCTGTTGCGATTATCATTTACTACATGCAGCAATTACACTGGTTATATATTTATACTGCTCGTCATATTCAAACTCAAATGTAAGTGTTGGCCGATTATGTACTATAGTTAAGCATGTAAAAGTTTTCTGAATTATTGGAGAGATTTTAGAGAAAATACTGTTAAATCAGATAAAGGTATTTGACTTGTTTTTCAATTAAACACTTTTTTGGTACAGAAAAAATATCTGGAATTAAAAGAATTTAAAGATAGACATGCACTGTGCAAGATCAGAACAAGTGCACACCCCCTAAAAATAGAGACGGATAGATATGCAAAACACTATATAGATAAATCACAAAGATTATGTAAAAAATGCACGTCGGATAAAGTTGAAGACGAAGAACATTTTATTTGTCAATGTCCCCTTTATAATCTCTTGAGAAAAGAGTTGTATGATAAAATTTAGATAAGTTGTAAAATTTTCGAAATGTTAAACGCAAGTGCCAAGTTTAATTGGCTTTTTATTGAAGAAAACCTAGAGGTATTGAAAATTATTGCAATTTATATTAATAAATGTTTTGAACTCATAAAGCTATCAATATAGTACAGATATGTTTTTATTTAACCCATTGAAAATATTTGCCTGTTGATATTAAATATATAATTGTTATGCTTTTTTTTACTAATATGTGTATGGCTCTGATCTGGCTGTTGTTTAAGATCTTAGAATTGAGATAATTATATTCATATTTATATATGATTATCAAAATTATTGTGTCAATTATCTAAATCATTGTAATAAATTACTTTGCTCTTCATGGGCCCTTTAATTGGAATAGAAATATCTTATCCATCTTATCTTATCTTATTCATCGGGAAAAGTTGTTTTTTACGAGTTTGAATCTTATTTTAATGATAAATGCATTTTCTACCCATGAAGCTATTTTATATTGCCGATGTGCACGCCATGCTAGATTCATTTCAATCGTATTGGTAGTCTGTCTCCTATGAAGGAAGGAATAAGTCCGGGAAAAGACGAGCATTTTGGTTTCCATAGGAATGCCGACTGTGTTATAAAAAACACGGTAAACAAACGTCACAAATATGTTGTACAGATAGTATAATGCTGTTAAGAAAAGGAAAAAAAAACGGGACTCTTGATGATGTCAGTTTCAGAGGAACTTTTTGTTTCAATCAGTGTAATTTCAATAGGAAAGTTTTTTATACTATTGCACGAGGAGATTGGCTAGGATTACAGTGGTGTAGCAAGGTTCAGTTGGCAGAGCACACGCGCAAAGTGGACTCACAAGGAGCGAGCGGCCCAGTAGCTCTGAGGATTTAGATACTTAAGAAAGCAAACCATATTGTATTTCTTTCCTTTTCTAGCAGTCCCTCTGGTTTTTTGTACCATTTTGTTCTTTTCTAAAATTGTCTGTATTGACGAGCTTAATTATATCTTTACAGATGGATATGAATGTTGGATTGCTGGTCGACAATTTACTTATAAACACATCATTATGATCAAGCTATCCTTGATGGATTGACGGATCGATGATTGATATCCAGTGGCAACTATTACGTGCATATCAAGACTAGAACATGTTATTATGGTATGAATACAAATTAAATAGACAGACACGTTTAATCGGATTTTAAATGCTAGTTCACGAGGTAACAGTCCACAAAACTCCGAGCCGATTATTTTTTGCTATAACTCTTTAAATGACACGTGCTTAACGGAGAAGTAGCAAATACCAATTTCCATGTCAATGGTTTCACCCGGAATCGACCCACGACTAATCGCACTTGAGGCAAGCAAGCTACCACGAGTCCACCGAATCTGCATGGTTTTTACCCCCTGGAAGACACAAAAGAACTTGCTAGCACCATACCACTGAGTAATTGACTAATTTCTTGCAAACATGCAGTACAAACATATTTTGACCCTTTCATAGAGACGTGTTGTTGACAATGTTAAAGTCTTCAGTTATAACGTGGTCAACCGGAATATGTGAATTGGAAACTTGCACTAGTTTAATCAGAAATACTAAGTAAGCCGAAACATGATATTAATTGAGTTTTTTTTCTATTCCTTATTGATTGGTACGAGGCTTAAATTGCTGTATTGGCATGAGGTTAAATTCATGTCCAATTGACTTCTCCGGTCCGTTTGCAAATCTCGTGCTATCGGGAGCTGCCCCTTTGTCTCTGTGGGATGTATAAATACTCAGCAACGTCCGACCGATATTGGAACTTTAAACCCGATACTTGGGGTAGAGAGAGGGATACGCTATTTGCACTTCAAAGAACGTTTGCTACAACTCTTTGACGGTCCGTATGTGGCATGTGGTAAGACTAACTCGCTTCCCTATCTAACATATCCTCATTTTCCAGTGGCAGTTCAAGTGTCCCGCCCTTCATCTCATCCGAAAACGTAGTATTGTATAAATGTGTTTTCGTCAAAGATATACATGCGATATTTGCCACTGGGTGTTCAGATTTGAAGTATCATTCAGAAGATTGTTTACGAACTGGTAAAACTAGGAAACAGTTTAAAGGTTTTGCGTATATATATAATGCTGAAAACCAGTTTTACTATAGGATTTGACTGAAAGGTTACGCATTGTTTGGCTACTTCAATAGTTTCGTCATACAGAGGACAATGTGCAAATTTTAAAAACACGAATGAAGGTTCGGCATTCATCGTCACACGTTGAGTCATACCTTTCATTTTACCAACATATCCCAATCTGCAAAGGTTACACTGCAATTCGTAAACAATCCAAATCAATGACGAATTGAGTATCTTTTAAATCAACATTTTACATGTACTGTAGTTTGGAAATATGCGGTGCGTTTAGACATTTAGTCCAAAAATATCTTGAAGCTGATTGGACACGACAGCGTGACATGAATATGAATTATTCCAGTTTAGTTGTTTGTTGCATCTGAGATAGACAACTGTTATTCCAGACGACACATTTATTGTTCTTGATGACGTCTTTGACAGACCTTATCACCAGTGACGACTCACACTAATAAAGTGTCACAGAAAACAGCGAAACCAAGAATTTTACTAAATGAAGTTTATTTACAAGTTTACAAAAAACACGGTTCTCCAAAAAAAAAAAATTATACTTTCAAACAATGCATGGTTTATCTCCGACTATCTCAATATAAAAACTGAAAGCAGTTTAAATTGCAAATACATATCCCATTCTTATCAAGCAGTATTCCATACTTCGAAAGTCACCTAGACTGTGTCTGTGCTCTGTACATATGTATGTTGCTCAGTTTACCTCGACAGAGCCAGAGAGCACCTGCTGATGGCGTTGGAGAGCTGATTTGAAGCTATCTACTGGCTTAGCCTATTATATATATATATTCTTCCAGCTGGTTCTAATGAACCAAAGTCTTAACGAAGAATAAGTTCAAAATATTGACTAAAAAATTCAGCCTGACTTAGTACTAACTAATTCCTCCATAAGACCAGAAAAAAGATAGTATTCGTTTGCCGAGTTGAAAAATTAAAACAGTCGGTTATCTTTGTTTTATTTAGTGTAAATTGCATGTGTAACCATTAATGATAACATTTTGATTTGTCCATAAATAAGCATGGGGCGAAAGATTATGTGGTGAGTAAAGACTGTTAAAAATATGGATTCTCTTCGTCTCTATCCCCGTACTGATGGAGATCCGTGAAAAATGTCACAATGGAGTGGCGAACAGTCAGTTGCAGAATATGGGGATTTGCAGGTAAATTAATTTAAAAATAAGTTCAATATACTTGTAATATGATTTATTAGGGTATGGTGTACAATACTAATCTAGAGAAATGATTACTATTCAAAATTGTCAACCCATAAAAGTCATTTCCCTGAGGGCGCAGCCAAAAGTGAAATAATTTTAGGGTTGACCTATTTTGATGTTCATCGCTTCTAAGGGGACATAATGGTTTTATTATACTTTTAAGAATTCTTTTTGTATCTTAGAATTTCTTGTTTGACCATTCAGAACCAAGGTAAACTTTTTGTTAAATATTGATGGCCCTGATAAGGGCCAATTGTTAAGCCAACTTAAGGGCTATCCTTGGCACTATATAAATTTCCAAACTTGTTTCCTAGTCACTAGATGGACAGTTCTGACCTAGCCATTGTTTTGATGGGGAAAATAGGGTATTCATGGGTGAATAATCATGATAATAGGGTTTCTTAATATTCATCATGTGCATCGCACATTGTTAATTTTTAGTTATTCTCCATCAGACAAACAAGATGATTTTTAGATCTACAAAAATGACAATATGACCAAACAATTGGATGACACCTTAAAGAGTTATTGTCCTTAAAAGTTAACTGATGATTTTTATTCATATTTTTTTTTTTGCATTTTGGGCAAAATTTGTAGTAGTTAAAGAGAAACTGTAAACATAAAAAATGATCAGCAATACAACATCAACAACAAGATATTTTAATTATCTACTAATCTGTTATGTTGGAGAGTGGCCAAATTATGTAACAATGGCATTGTTCAGGATGAAATTCATTTTTATCTTCAATGTCCATCACTTAGAACTGAAAGGTCCAGTTTCATTTTAGATTTGTCTTTTAAATTTACTAATTTTAAAATTTTTAATTACCAATCAAAATTTATATGGTTGATGTCAAATGAAGATCCTATTGTTAATAATATAATGATAAAATTAATAGATAGTTTAATAAAGACTAGAAGAGAAAAATTAAGTAATAAGACATGAGTGGCCCCAGCTCTTCCTTCAATAATACAACGGTACTGATTGTGTTCACTCGCTCATTATCTTTGGGAATACACTGTGTTTGTTGTCTCCCTTTTCCAAATAGTTTTAGTTTTATTGTAATTTTTCAATAAAAAAATCATCACAATTATTTGTACACTTTGAATTAAACTGTAATTGTTCTGCTCCTCTGGGCATCTTGATTGACAAATAAAATTGGTGTTGTTGTAACAGTTGTACAATAGTATGATGAGCAGAGGATCCCTATTGATTTAAAAGTCACTGGCTTTAGTTACTAAACATAGACTGACATTTTTGCAGTAAAGTGGATATTATTGGTGCTAAACCTTACATGGATACATTTGGTTACACTTAAAGAAAATATCACGGTTTATTTTGATGTCACTAGGTATAAGGTCAAGGTCATAGTTACTAAAAACAAATTTACTCTCTGAAATCATAACAGAAAAAATCCTATCTAAAACATGAAAAGCAGAAAAATATTAATTTCATAAAAACATAATGAATGTATTGGAAATAAATTATTTTCTTACTCAACAGATATAAAAAATCCATGATCATGATGATAAAACACTTGTAAACAGATAAATTTAATTGTATTTAAACAAAAAAAAACAACTCAAGTTCTTTTTCGCTCTATATTATTTGCTTATTTTTTTAAAGCTTATTACCATGATTACAGTAGAATTTTAGGGTTTTTTTCTTATTTTCTTCCACCATAAATATAAGACTCAGATAAGGAAAAGGGCAGTGATCTTGTTCTTCAGAAAATTGCACAAATCAGTGCCAAAAACAATAAACCTCTGGACTCACTTGAAAAAAGTCCTAACGAGAACCCTACAGTGTGAAACTTCAAATTGTATCAGTGTCAATTGGCATAAGACATGCTCTTACTTGCATGGAGTCAAAAAAGTTACTAAAAGAGCCGTCAAAGCTACCAGGCTTATTATTCAGTATGCCCAGCATGTATTTTGTATGTGCATATGTATATTTACTCGTCAGTCATTCAGTGGAGCTTGAATCAAAACAGTTGGCCAATCAACTATGATGTTGAAGAACCTTGAAAAAAAAATTCAGAATAAGAAGTAAAAAGAAATGAATATATTAAAGATCTGAAATCAACACCAAACGCATAGACGAAATACAGAAGTTGAAAAGAACACAACGGGTGATTCTAAACTTGATGATGATGATATTTCTCCATGAATGCTGGTTATTGCATGTGGGTAATTCACTCCGAAATGTTTCTCTGTATATTCAATACATGATAAATGATACAGGGCTGTACATCAGCAATCAATATATTTAACTGGGATTGACTCTACACCAACAAGGGTGATTTTTACGTACAAACATTGTAAAGAGAGGATGTAAAAATCAATATTGATTTTTAGATACATGTATAAATGTACAGTATGATGTATATATGGGTGTATTGTTTTACATTACAGGCAAGTGCAATGGCAGTGGACTGCACTGGACAATTTGCTGTCTTGGCTGGGTAAGTACTTAGACTTGATGATATAGATTTGATGTTTTGTCTCACTTTCGATGAATATTACAGAAAGCGAGGCATACTTGGCATAGGGATGCTAATCATGTAGCAGCAACAAGGAAAGTGTAAACTGTTCAAATTTAGCTTTACATTTCATAAGGTACAATAGAAAAATCTAGAAGAGCTGAATACTTTAACTTTTTGATCTGCAGTTTCTGTCTGGCATGTATCCATTGTCCTTGACCTCATTTTCATGGTTCAGTGGTATAAGATAAGATATTTTTATTTCCAATTATGGGCATAAATTTCTCACGAAGTGATTTTGCAAGCGCTTGTCACTTTCGTAATTTGCAAAACTGTTTTCAAAATGAAAGTATTTCAAATCAATTTCGTCACTTAAATTTGGAAAGTGTAAAAATATTTTCGCATGAAAATGCTATACTACCTGTCTACATGTTTCTGACAAGTTTATGACCCTCAGCTAATTAACATTTACAACAGGTGTTATAAAGTTGTGATTACAGCTAATCCGCTTATCGCCATCGGATGGGTAACTAATCCGGTTAATTATTTTCCCCAGTAAAGTTAGTCAGTCTGCATTTTAATTTCAATATTTCTCAAGGCCAACGACCACAATTTGCAGTTCGTTTGTCGTAGTTTCGTCGTTTGAACAAAATAGTTTTTCCCCGGACAGTTTGCATTTTAATTTCAATATATCTAAAACGATCATAATTTGCAGTCCGTTTGTCGTAGTTTCTTCAAATGATCGTATTTTCGTCATTTTTGATATAAACGTTCAATTTCGATTAAAAAGATAGAATTTTATTCAAAACAATCAGAAATGTTTTCATGTTAAAAACTTCCATCATCATCAACGAGTCAAACAGGTGCTTCTTTTAGGAATGTCCCCTGAAACTGATTGAAGTATAACTTTGAACTAGATTTTCAGATCTTATATCCTAATCTTCATATTTTAGTGACACATCAGTCAAATCATGCAATTACTGCCTAGTAAATTGATGCCTTAGTCCTTCAAAGTCTGACAAAGATGTATAGCTAGTAATATGCATACATCCTTGGTCCCTTGCTGTTACCCAAAATAATGTTGATTTTCATCTCGCGCAAAAGTGACTAAAGCCCTCATCATCCTAGCTTAAACCCTGCTCACTTAACATAAGTTATTGGATGACAACATAACAGTCACTACATGTATATTTGGTAATTTGGATCCTTGCAAGGTCTACATGTCTGCCAGACAAGGTTCACCTGACTTTGACCTCATTTTATGAATGGGTGACCTCATTTGCACAGTTAATTGGTCAACGTTAATTATTTTGTGGTTATGACTGTTTCTCAGATATATACTACACATGTATAATCAATAAGTCAGCTATATTTGATTTATGAAATGATCATAAGGTGAACATGTTTGTCTGCCAAGGTTCGTTTGTTACTTAAAGTTTTTTTCTGGATTTGTGATGTTTAGTTTATGTGATACTTGTTACAATGTATGAAAACCAAATCAGTAAAGCAGGTAAGACATTTCAGCTATTAACTGTTGTTTTTAGATTCTCATCAACTGTCAAGAAAAAGATTGACGTAGAATTCTATATATATATTATTTACATTCAATTTTAATATTCAACCCTGTATTTATAAATCATCGCTAAAATATCAAACCTGACCATTAATAACTTGACTGAATCTCAAGTGAACTACATATATCTATATCTATATATATATATAGCTTACACCTTTGTGAAATGTGATTTTATATATTCAAAGCTTTAATAGTACAAGTACAAGTATCGTTTTTTTCTACAACATTTAGAAAATATGGTAATCACTGTTCATATTGGTAGAAAATTCCAATGAAGATTTGAAATGGATAACTTTTTTTTCTAGATGGAAAGTTCAAATGTTACACTTATCCAAAATGAAGTCATTAGCTATTTGGTTAATGATCAGATTGCTTCAATATCGTGAGGACGCTGTTTTAGTTGACATTAACTTGTATTTACTTACTGTTCTCTTTTTTGTAGCCGTAAAGTGATGACCTTGGTAGATTTAGACAATCCAACTGATAGAGTAACAAAATTGACAAGACAAAGTAAATTTGATATAAGTTGTGTACAGTGGCACCCCTATCCTGTTTGTGGAGACCTATTTGCTACAGCTGTAAGTTTGTTAGTTTTGTTCATAGTCTGCTTCAACCAGTTTTAAGATATATTGAGATCTAATTTATGATTGAATGGAAAAACTAATGTATCCAATGCATTTACTGAACAGTTGATCATTTCAAGGATTTTAAATTTCATGATTTTTAGGGCCAAACCTGTTAGTAGGGATTTATTTCATATTTTTCTTGTCCATGATTTTATTCCTCTTTAAATGTCAATTTTACCTTAGGGGATATTTCATGTTTTTTTCTTATTCACGTAAAAAACAAAAAATAAATCTTTAAGTGGCCTTTTGGTGATTCTTATGACGACATGTGACTGTTATCTATGATACATATATACTTTTTATATATTTTTTCTAATATTATATGCAATCTTTCTGTGAAGTTTCAGTTACATTTTTTGCATTTGTTTCACCATATTATATAAAGATATTGTAATTGAAGGATAATGTTGTTATTTTCAGTGTAACCAGAGATTAGATTTATTTTCTTGGACGAGTTATGGAAATATCAATCAGAAATGTTCTATGAGAGGACACTCCAGAACTGTCAGGTATTTTTTCTTGGACTTAGAGATGATAATGATACAGAACCATATTAGTGATCTAGTGATATAAGAAAATTTAAAAATGGTATTATTAATATTACCAATAAGACAACCATCCACCAGAGACCACATGATGTTGATTTAATCAACTATAGGTCACTGTACAGCCCTCAACAATGAGCAAAACCCAAACCGTAAAGGAAGCTATAATTGGCCCTGATTTGGCAAAATGTAAGACATTTCAACTTTTCAAGTAAGAAAACCAACTGCCTGATTTATGTTCACTACAATAAAAATAAACAAATATGATAAAACCTACCAACGACAACCACTTATTTACAGGCTCCTGACTTAGGACAGGCACATGTATAGAATGTGCCAGTGTTAAACAAAACATGTTAACAAACTCTTGTAACATGCTTGTCTTAAGTAAGGGAAGTTATGGGTTAGAATTCCATCTGGGTCAAATCAAAGACTTTAAAAATTGTTATTTGCTGCTTCCCTGCTTAACACATGACAGTTAAGAGTAAGAGCAAAGATTGATCAGAAAAATTTGTCTTGTTAGCAAGCATATTGAAAATTAGGATCATTGTGTCCTAGTACAAAGCAGGGTATCTGCATGTTGCATTAATAAGATATCCTCTTGACAATGCATGTTATATTTGCTGCCATCAATTAATTGATTAATATTGATACCTACCTACCTACCTAGTCCTTGTTATGCCCGGAGGCACAAAGGGGAAAGACTAGATCTTTGCACTCATCTCTGTTCTGTGCTCTCTTTTCTATCTCGCCCCAATAATGAAGACCGTGACTGGAATATAATTTCTGAAGATAAAATCTTGAACACTCAAGCTTTGAAAAATAATTTTGATATGCTTTATAACATAGTGATATTAGAAGTTAAATGCTATTAATTCAAGACATTTTTTGGCTTGATTTGTATGGTGCATATAAAATTCTGCCTAAATTTTTGATGTTTTTAAAATCCTACTATCATTCCAAATGTTTGCAATCGACTCATTCTAAATGCTGACAACAATTTGAAAAATAAACTATATACTTTTCAACATGGAGATACAAGATTCAAAACATCTTTAAAATGCATACAATAGTTGTTGTGATAAAATGTTTTAATTGTGTGTTGGAGAATTCTAGAAAAAATAATTACCGGTATCATATGGAAAATTGAACCCATGGAAAATTGAACCTTGGGTGATTTTCCATAGCGGGAAATTGAAACCCCCATGAAAAATTGAACACACCTCTATAGACCTCATATTTTCAAATTGTCATAGCTATTTAAACTACTTTATATAGTTATAATGTTTAACCTAATGTACATTTGACATTTATTTAAAGGAAATACAGGGGGTTAAATTTTCCATGGGGGTTGGGTTCAACTTCCCACTATGGAAAATTGACCCTGGGTTTAATTTTCCATATTAGATTTTGACCCCGGGTTCAATTTCCAATATTACACCTGTGTTAATAGACCAATTTGAAACTTGTGATTGCAGTAATTGGTAAATTGTCTAAGTTTGTTTTCATCTTTGTAAATATTTTAAGGATTTGAATTTTTTTCAGTGATTTAGATTGGTCTCCTTTTGATGTTAACATAATTGCTTCCTGTTCTGTGGACTCTTACACACATTTGTGGGATATCAGGTATTTGACAATAGTTGTTAGAAATACTTTATTTATGTGACTGTTTTCTTGAACAGAAAAATTTCCTATGTATTTAATGTTTTGGAGGTTCACCAAGGAGACAGCAACCAAAAAACACAAAAAGGACATCTATAAGACAACATATAAGATTGTATCTCAAGTTCTAAAGCACACTGTGTCAATATAGAATAAATAGCTTTGACAGAAACTACCAAAAATCAACAACATCATTACAGCATTTAACTCAATCACTTTGTAACAAACATGTCATCAGCCCAGCACCTATCCCCCTCCCTGAAAAAATAATCAAATAAAATCTTTCATTCAATAAACAGAATCTTCTTTGCAAGCAAGTTAAAAACTCACTAAAGTACAGATTTTTTGTTGTTGTTGAGTAGCTGTATCATTGATGTATACCAGACTTATGCTTTAATTCATATACAGTATCCTGTAAAAAGATCTAAAAAAAAAATACCATCCCTGCAACCATTGTATATGGTTAACACTCATCATCATCTTCAGCTTAACTCTTCAAAAAACCTCAAAATGTTATCACAATAAATAAGAAAACATCACCCAAAGGATTTCAATTACTCACAATCTTATTGCAACTAATTGAATATGCTTAGAAGACAAAAATCATTTGGGATTTGGGAAAAGAAAAAAAAAAGGAAATTTGTGTTGATAAATGATGGGCCTGTTTTATTATCAAGCAACATATATGATGGGTTCTCCATGAAATTATGAGGCTGTTGTTAGAACATTTAGATATTGAAGAAAGGATTTTATAAACTTACAATTAATAATTTGATTTTGTTGCCTTACAGGGATCCAAAGAAACCAGCAAATTCATTTCAGACAGTAGGTAAGTGATGTATCACTATAATAAACATATAAACATATAATTATATATATATATAAAAGGTTATCATTATGAGAGGTGTATTAAATGAAAAAAAAAAGAGAAAAAAACCATGGACCGATTCATGCTAACAACAATAAACAAAAACAATTATGACAGCTAATAACCAATTATAAACACTGCATTATAGGCTCTTGTCTTGGGACAGGAACGCAAAGAAAGAGGCTTGGGTTATACAGATTTCAGTTTGTTCAACCCTCCCCTTTCTTTGGTCAGTGGTTAACAGTCCAACGATAGGACAAACCTAGAAAATCCGTTGAAAAAGACTTCTCATCAAAATTGGTATTAAGCTCAAACAAACAACCAACAAAAGGACAAAAGACTCAAAGTTCCAGAGGACTTGCAGTTACTGAAAGTGTTGAAAGTTCAATTTCAACTGATAGGTCAATATTTGTATTATTCTATCAATATTACACACAGCCAAGACAATATCTGTGTTAACAGTTTAGTTGTTTTGCTTTAATGCATACTAAGTCAAGGAAAAAATAAAAATTTACTTCATATTTGACACTTTAAAAGGCTAATTATAAAGTCTACAGAAAATTTAAGAGTGCTTTCAGTGTTTATTTCTTAAATGCTAATACTTTTTTGTTTATAGGAAAAATTCAGATCATGGCAAAGAACGATAAAAATTTGTCTTTATTTCTGAGGTTTACTAAAATAAGGAATAAATCAGTATTAACATAGAGCATTAATGATAGATTGTGACATTATGTTTTCTTTATCTTTATTTCCATAAACATGATAAACACTAAATCACTTGCTGTTTATTGTTAATAGCTGGAGCATCTCAAGTGAAATGGAACAAAGTGACTAATAACTTATTTGCTACAACACATGAAGGAGATGTAAGGCTGTGGGATCCAAGAGTAAGTTATCAGTGTAGATTTATAGATTATTGAAATAAGGATATAGCATTGATGCATTGCTGTTTTACAGGCAAAACAAATAAATATGTGTCAAATATCCAGATATGAGCTGGAGTCATTTAATGTTTTTTCCAGATATTTGGAAATCTGATTTTTAAATCAAATCTTCTTTATAGGTCAAAGTTTTTTAGAAAAAATGCCTGTGGTAAAACAACGGCTGCTTTGTGAAAAGGCAATGACAACACATTATCCTCCTTCCCTATATCACCCTGCTCAGCTGCTCTGTATTCTCGTATCATGGCTTTGAGATGTGAGCAGACATTATCAGTGATGTAACAATGTCTGAGGTAGAAGTTATGAGCGGCATCACAATGTGTGAGAAGACATTATCAATCTTACTTTCGTCAAGCGTAATACTGTTTAAAGGAGGGAGAAAAGAACAGTGATAGAAAGATAAACAGGTTATTGGGTTTTTACACAGTGATATTGTAAAATATCAGCCACTCGACACAATGTAAAGCTTTTTTGCTCGCTCACTGCACTTACTTACCAAAAAGATTTACATTGTGGCTCGTGGCTGATATTTTACGATATCACTGTGTAGAAAACCAAATTAGCTGTACATATCAACACAAAGTGTCAAAATTTAACATAAAAATTCAACATTAAAATGAACAACAAGCCTGGCATTACAACCTCTGTTCCAGGATAAATGGTTTACAATATTACTGTATCAGTTATTTAAAGGAATCCAGTAAAAAACCACATAATTGTTGTAATAGGAAATGATTAAAAAGATATTTAACAAAAAATGCATGCATCTACAAAAGAGGGAGAAAAGGGGACTGTCTTGAAGGTTATTTTCATTAGCTCTATATCTGTAATTATATTTAATCAAAACTACATTTTGAAATTAATTTATTATTCATATTTCTTTATGCTATATGTTCTGACACCCCTAGGTATGTGCACTACTTATATTCTTCAGACATTCTGGTCATTTTCCTATATATTTGCATTTAGATGGCAGATATCAAACTGATAAGATCTCCTTGGATGATAATAGTATTGTGTTGTTGTTTTTTAGAAGGGAAGTTCACCACTTCAATATATAGCTGCTCATTTATCAAAGATCCATGGTTTAGACTGGAGTCCAGAAAGTGAGACAAACTTTGCAACCTCAAGCCAGGATGGTACTGTCAAAGTGAGTGTGTAAAAATTAGGATGTACGAAAAAAAATAAGCATATAATGTTCTTAGGTCGTTTTGCTAAAATGCTACTTGTCAATTATTGACATCACTTGGTGATATTAAGGATATTTGTGGTGAAAATTCCCTAGAGACCACCCAAGCCAACATATCACATTTTACATGATAATTAATTAAATCTTACTATTTTTATCACCTAATTTACTTAGATAAGGGCATAACAATCAATTTAGAGTAACCTTTCAAGTAAGGAAAAGAGCAGATATGTATTGTTCAACATTTTTAATAAAAGATATAGCAACGAAATATTTTTGTAGAGTATTGTCAAAAGATATTATGCAATATCATTTATAAATGGTAACAATAATGGTTATTGAACATTTGCAATTTTTTCGTTTTGAATGTTTTGCCAGTTATTTCATGCATACTTGTGAATGTCAGCCTTTGTATAATATAAATAAAATCACAAGCTACTGCAATATAATATTCTAAAATATATATAAGCATGATTTTTGTATGTATAATTTCAGTTTTGGGATTCTTCCAACCCTCGTCAGAGTAAAGGTGTCATTACATCAGGTTCACCGGTATGGAGAGCTAGGTACACAGTAAGTTCTATCTAAACATTAGCTTCCTCCAACCCATGTCAGAGTGTCATTACATCAGGTTCTCCTATATTGAGAGCTAGGTACACAGTTAGTTCTTTATAAACATTAGCTTCCTCCAACCCTTGTCAGAGTGTCATTACATCAGGTTCTCCTGTATGGAGAGCTAGGTACACAGTAAGTTCTTTATAAACATTGGCTTCCTCCAACCCTTGTCAGAGTGTCATTACATCAGGTTCTCCTGTATGGAGAGCTAGGTACACAGTAAGTACTTTATAAACATTGGCTTCCTCTAACCCTTGTCAGAGTGTCATTACATCAGGTTCTCCTGTATGGAGAGCTAGGTACACAGTAAGTTCTTTATAAACATAAGCTTCCTCCAACCCTTGTCAGAGTGTCATTACATCAGGTTCTCCTGTATGGAGAGCTAGGTACACAGTAAGTTCTTTATAAACATTAGCTTCCTCCAACCCTTGTCAGAGTGTCATTACATCAGGTTCTCCTGTATGGAGAGCTAGGTACACCGTAAGTTTTATCTAAACATTGACACTGTGTTACTAGACAATAAATGTATAAGTTTTGGGTTGTTGGACTTGTGACTTCAAAATTTCAGCACATTAAATAAAAGGAAAAGTTATACTGTATCTCTTGTATTTTGATACATATAATTTTGTTTTTTACACACAGGTAATAAAATACAATAAATATTCTTGTAGCCATTTGGACATGGACTAATAACAGCTGTTGTCCCCCAACTAAGAAGAGGAGAAAACTCTCTATATTTGTGGAATTTTGAAAATTATGTAGCACCAGTACATCAGTTTGTCGGACATCAAGATGTTATTTTAGAATTTGAATGGAGAAAACAAGCAGAAGGTAATTTTAAAAGTGGAAATATTTTATTTGATTAATATTATATTTATACATATCCTTCTGCAATACTCAAATTATCTGGATTTTTGCTGAAGATTGACCTTCAAGGGGGCCTCAATGGCTGAGTGGTCTTAGTAGTTCATCTATTTTATCACTAGCTTATCAACACTGAGGTTGTGAGATCGAACCCAGAATATGGCAGGTGTGTTTGTACCCTGCATGGTAGGTGTGTTTGACTCCAATCTTAATTGACTAGGATTGCCAGTTTTCCTGTTGAAGGTCTTGGTTTTCTATCGGCACTCCGACTTCTTTCACCAAAAAAAATTGGCACCCATTAAAAATAGCCAAAAGTGCTGAAAGTGGCATTAAACACCAAATTTCAATCAATCCAAAAGTATGTTCAGGTGAGGGATCAGAGTCATTGATATTGGCAAATAACATGAGACAGTAAAATAAATGAAAAGTGAATCACTAATTTTGAAATTCATTTTTTTTAAATTATTATTAAATAACCAAGAAATATTCTGTATTTATTCAGACCCCTGCTGATTCAGTATTTCGTCACGGAGAAATTAGCTGAAAACAATCTTGACTATTTCTACCTCAGCCATGTTGGGATTGTGGTAACTGCAGTTACCACGATCAGTTTAACACCAGTGATTTCATGAAAAGGAATGTATTCATGATTATTTTTAATAGATTTTCCTGTATTTCAAATGTTTTTTTCTTAGTTAATTAACTTTATTAAGTTAATTTGACAGAGACAATGAAATTCAAAGTACATTTTATTGTTTCTTTTTATTAATAAAGGTCTCAAGGACTATCATCTTGTCACATGGTCCAAAGATCAAAGTTTAAGGATATGGAAAATAGACCAACACTTACAAAAGGTAATTGTAAAACTCCATCTTTGGAAATTATTGTATGCATAAATTTTTGCTTTTTTTTATCAATAGATAAATTGTGAGGCTTTGCATGAAAATCAGCTTACAAATAATGCAATCAGAAATGTGAGTTCTAATTAAAACAATATCAATCGTCAAATTTTTGCAATAATATAAATTTCACAAACATTTTTTAATTTAAGTAGCAATAAATTGATACCATGATGTGATACTGTGATTAATTTTTGCTTCAAAACAATATTAGGTATGCATGCTAAAATTGTTTAGCATCTGAAAAAGTTGATACAATAAAAAAATAAGAAGATTTGGTATGATTGCCGATAAGACAACTCTCCACCAGAGACTAATTTATATAGAATTTTAAATAACTATAGGTCACCGAATGGCCTTCAACATTAAGGAAAACCCATGAGTTGGTTCAGTTTTTATCATTTCATAAATTAAGAAAAAACAGTGTTCTTTAATGCATTGTACTTTAGAGATATCAAGTTCAGCAATGTGGTATACTTTAATACATCATACACGACATTTTTTACATGAATGTTAAATTCTAGTTTTCCATGAATTAACAATTAAATATATTACATGCATTCTAGTACACATAATTTGAAAAAATAAAAAAGGATCTGACATGGTATTTAATTTTCTGTCTTATAACTTGACGTCTTTGTGTTATCAAATGAAAATGAAAAATTGGATTGTAATTACTGTGGACTTATTATTAAGCGTTGTATACTATTTCTAGTTGATTTTTGTTGATACAGGTAAACCACGAAATTAAATGTTCAATGAAGTACAAATTTTCTATAGGCCTGCATGCTGACTTCGGCAAAACCACAAAATCAAATATCCATGAAAATAAAATTGTTCCTCAATCCCCACAAAAAAAAATTAATCAAAAGTTTGAAAAAACTATATTGATAATGTTCAAAAATATCTTTCTGATTACAAATATTTATATTGGTATGTTTTCAGATTAATATTTATAATTTTTTTCTTGAAAATTACCAGTTATGTGGTCAAGATGTTGGTGATATTAGTGATTCTTCAGAAAGTGAAAGCACATCATTACCCTACGACACCAATGGATCCAGTCCTCCAAAAGACCAAGAACATGATTTTCAGAGACAGATGTCAGCTAGTCCTGAAGTATACCCTGGTCAGAAGCCCCGAACTTTAGAACAGGAGTTTTTGATGGTCAATGTAGCTATAGATAATGTTAGAGTAGATGAGGTAATTGAATAAAGACACAGTATTTAAGTCACATCTTTCTATTGTTGTTGCTGAAGAGGTTTTTGTTTGAGATCCTCTACTCTATAAAGTAGGTAGTATAAAAGTATAATTGATTGATTGATTGTTGGTTGCTTAACGTCCAGTGGCAAATATTTCATGCATATTCAGGACGAGAACAAGTTCACAATAAATACAATAGGTAGGTTCTGTAATAGATTAAGGGATTAAGGTCGGAGAAATTTAGACTGCCACGGGAAATGAGGGTATATTGGATAGGGACAGAAATTAAGCCTTGCAACAGGTCACCTACGGACCCCTCAAAGAGTTGTTGCAAGGGTTCTTAACGTGCAAAGAACCTGGCACTTTCTTTACACGAGGCATTGGATTTAACGTCCCCATTCTGACCCGACGTGGCTGCAAATTTGTACATCCAGCACAGCCAAACGGACGCCCCACTTTAGCACAGGTTTTACTGTTGGTCGGAGGAAGACCAATGGTGACCATACTTCTATTCCCCAGTCTCCCTTGGGGGGTATAAAAGTATAACAAAAATACCGAACTCCAAGGGGAAGTCTTTTAAAAATTGACAAAATCAAATGCTATCAACCAACGGAACGAGTGAAAAACAACTGTCATATACCTGACTTGGTACAGGAACTTTCCAAAGAAAATGGTGGGTTAAACTTGGTTTTATAGCTAGCTTAACCTCCAAATCAAATGATGATTAATATAGCCATTGATTATGTCTGTAATGATGGGGGATATTTAGTTGAATTGATATACTTCAAGTCACAGACTATTTAAGTCTTTGCATAAAAATATCTTTTAGAGAAATCCTAAATAAGGATGCTTTCTCATTTCAAACAAGCTGTTTTTATTTTAAATTTTCATATTCTGTACTTGTAAAATACCACACAGCCTGTTCCATTTCAACAATGATAGTTCATAGATGTTTCCCTAAAAAAATTGGGTTTCTCTCCATAGAAGTAATTTTAACCTTCTCATGCTTTTAGTTCCAATCAATTGTTTTAGGCACTCACACAATTGATTCAGACTTTGAATGCAATCCAAAGGTACCATAAAAATAAAATTGAGAATGGAAATGGGGAATGTGTCAAAGAGACAACAACCCGACCATAGAGCAGACAACAGCCGAAGGCCACCAATGGGTCTTCAATGCAGCGAGAAACTCCTGCACCCGGAGGCGTCCTTCAGCTGGCCTCTAAATAAATATGTATACTAGTTCAGTGATAATGGACGTCATACTAAACTCCAAATTATACACAAGAAACTAAAATTAAAAATGATACAAGACTAACAAAGAACAGAGGCTCCTGACTTGGGACAGGCGCGAAAATGCGGCGGGGTTAAACATGTTTTTTGAGATCTCAACCCTCCCCCTATACCTCTAGCCAATGTAGAAAAAACAAACGCACAACAGTACGCACAGTAAAACTCAGTTTAAGAGAAGTCCAATGTCAGAATAGGAAACAAAAGAAAATAAACAAAATGACAATAATACATAAATAACAACAAACTACTAGCAGTTACTGACATGCCAGCTCCAGACCTCAATTAAACTGATTGAAAGATTATGTCTTCATCATATGAATATCAGGCACAATCCCTCCTGTTAGGGGTTTAGTATAATACCATCATAAAATATATGAGAAGAACATAACCCGTGTCATGACAACAACTGGTTAAAAAAGCTTATTGGGGTGTAAAAGCGTTGACCAAAGTACATTTTGTATGAATGTTAAAAAAGAAAAGCAAATTTCATGACTGTTCAAAAAAATTTCCACATTTACAGAAATAATTTCAGTGTTCTCCTCAGAAATGTTTTATATCATCCTGGTAAACAGGAAATTATGAAATATCATCTCGTTTCTAGAAACTATAGCATCACTTAAGAATTGAATGCTTCTTTTTGTAAATTTATTGGGGTGTAAAAGCGTTGACCAAAGTACATTTTGTATGAAGCGCGGAAGCTTTTACAACCCAATAAAATTACGAAAAGAAGCATTCAATACTTATAATTACATTTTTTGTCGAGCCTGCGACTTTTGTCGCAGAAAGCTCGACATAGGGATAGTGATCCGACGGCGGCATTAGCTAGCTTCTTAAAAGCTTTATATTTTAGAAGCTAGAAGACCTGGATGCTTCATACTTTGTATATAGATGCCTTATGTTTACGTCTGTCATATATCCATTGTCCTTGACCTTATTTTCATGGTTCAGTGACTACTTGAAAAAAAGTCAACATTTTTTGTAATGTTAATTTCTTTCTTATTATGAGTAATAGGATAACTATATTTAGTATGTGCGTACCTTGCAAGGTCCTCATGCCCGTCAGACAATCTTCATTTGACCTCGACCTCATTTCATGGATTAGTGAACAAGGTAAAGTTTTCGTGGTCAAGTCCATATATCAGATACTATAAGCAGTAGGTTATACTATATTTGGTATATGGAATGATTGTAAGGTGAACATGTCCAACTGGTAGGTGTAATCTGACCTTGACCTCATTTTCATGGTTCAGTGGTCAAAGTTAAGTTTTTGAGTTTTGGTCTTTTTTTCTAATACTATATGCAATATGTCAACTATATTTGGTGTATGGAAATATTTTATGATGTACATGTCAGTCTCGCAGGTTTTATTTGACCTTGACCTCATTTTCACGGTTCATTTCTCAGTGTTAAGTTTTTGTGTTTTGGTCTGTTTTGCATCAACTATAAGCAATAGATCAACTATATTTGTTGTATGGAAGGATTGTATGGTGTATATGTCTCTGGCAGGTATCATCTGACCTTGACCTCATTTTCATGGTTCATTGGTCAATGTTAAGTTTTCATGGTTAAGTTTGTTTCTTAGATACTATAAGCAATAGGTCAACTATATATTTAATGCATAAATTGATTGTAAGGTGTACATGTCTGTCTGGCAGGTATCATCTGACCTTGACCTCATTTTCATGGTTCATTGGTCAATGTTAAGTTTTCATGGTTAAGTTTGTTTCTTAGAAACTATAAGCAATACGTCAACTATGTTTGGTTTATTGAATGATTGTAAGGTGTGCATATATTTCTCATTTGGTTTATCTGACCTTGACCTCATTTTCTTGGATCATGTTAAGTTTATGTGTTACTTGTATTAAAGCTTTATATTTAGGACTATCAACATACAATTAATGGTTAGTAAAGAAGGCGAGACATTTCAGCATGTGCACTCTTGTTTGCTAGGATCATGAAAATACAATTTCTATCAAGTTTTTCTTTTATTTACCTGTGCACTTTATTGTGGAAGCTCGTGTTATCATGAATGTTACATTTCATTTTGAAATGAAGGTTAATTTCAGAATGACACGAGATTGCTGTTAGCCAATCAAAATAACGTATTATAATGAATCATACATGTAATGTAATTATATCCATATCACTATCTATCAGAAACTAATTTCAGGTAGCATCATTCTAGCAATATAGCATCACATTACACATTGCCCTGGGGAGAACACTGAATATATATTGGGTTAAATCATGTTAGGTTTTGTTGACAGTTGGGCCTTCAGAGGGTCAATTTTATCTTTTCAGTGTTCATTGTTTAAAGTCTGGGCCTTTGAAGGAAAGTTTTATCTTAACAGTGTTCATTGTTTAAAGTCTGGCCCTTTGAAGGAACAGTAATACCGTATAGCGTTATTTTTGCGGGGTGTTTATTTTCGCTTATTTTGGCGGGTAAAGGAAAATCGCGTAAATAAATTCCATGAAAATTTATGCATACGTTCGGTACTTTCTAATAACTAAAACGTTTTGTAAACGATCTATTTTTTCTAGGTCGACGGGTCAATAACAGTTTATGATAATTTGAACAACATAAATGCCAAGCCAAAGGGTATTTAGTTTATTGTTGTCAAATAATATAAGAATGTAAGGTACTCTGTCAGGTATTTTACCCTTATTAATTATTGTCAAAATTATAGTCACTCTTGATAATTTTATAATCTAATTAGTATATCAAAGGTCCGGTCAATTTCGTAACAAATCAACCGTAACTGTGTCAAAATGTAATCAATAAATAAGACATCATGCAGGTAAAACAATAATTTAACCATAACAATATGAACAATAGATACTTGTTTGTTAATTTTTACAACTTTTTAACTGCAACCATTAAGTATCCACCAAACTTTTTAATTAAGTCTCCCAAACGAAGTTTGGGAAGACTTATTGTTTTTGCTCAGTTCTTATTATTATTATTATTCTTCTTCTTCTTCTTCTTCTTCTTCTTCTTCCGCCGCTTTTAAATTTGAACTTGTCCGCACCCGTTCTCCAAAACCGCTAGTCAGATTAACTTAGGGTTTCACATTATGTTAGACTAACATGTCTAGTGGTGCAATCAGGGTTTTGTTTGTTCAATGGGGTTTATAAAGGGGTACTTTGAGGGGTAAAAAGAAAAGAGGGTTTTACTATAGAACCCTATGGGATTTTATTTTTTAAAATTTTCAAATGATTATAAATTGAAAACCGTTTGTGATAGACACAATCTTTTTAATTGAAAATGTTCTAAATGATAAAGCCCATTAAATGAAATACAGGGTTAGTCCCCAGGGGTCACCCCCACCCCCTGCCATTTAAGAAAGTTCTAATACCTTGTAAGTGGTCAAGATCCCCACCCCTAAACCATATATATTCTGGTTTGTCATGCTAAGATGGTTTGAATGATATACAGGGTTAGTCCCCAGGGGTCATCCCGACCCCCTGCCATTTGAGAAAGTTCTAATATCTTGTAAATGGTCGAGATCCCCACCCCTAAACCATATATATTCTGGTTTGTCATGATAAAGCACATCAAATGAAATACAGGGTTAGTCCCCAGGGGTCACCCCCACCCCCTGCCATTTAAGAAAGTTCTAATATCTTGTAAGTGGTCAAGATCCCCACCCCTAAACCATATATATTCCTGTTTGTCATGCTAAGATGGTTTGAAAGATATACAGGGTTAGTCCCCAGGGGTCATCCCGACCCCCTGCCATTTGAGAAAGTTCTAATATCTTGTAAATGGTCGAGATCCCCACCCCAAAACCATATATATTCTGTTTTGTCATGATAAAGCACATCAAATGTTATACAGGGTTAGTCCCCAGGGGTCACCCCCCACCCCCTGCCATTTAAGAAAGTTCTAATATCTTCTAAGTGGTCAAGATCCCCACCCCTAAACCATATATATTCTGGTTTGTCATGCTAAGATGGTTTGAATGATATACAGGGTTAGATTGGGGTCATCCTGACCCCCTGCCATTTGAGAAAGTTCTAATATCTTGTAAATGGTTGAGATCCCCACCCCTAAACCATATATATTCCTATTTGTCATGTCTCGAACATTTGAATGACGTATACGGTCAGTCCCCAGGGGTTCCCCCCACCCCCAATGTTCTAATATCTTGTAAATGGTTGAGATCCCCACCCCTAAACCATATATATTCCTGTTCGTCATGTAATGAACATTTGAATGACGTATAGGGCCAGTCCCCAGGGGTTCCTCCCCACCCCCAATGTTCTAGTATCTTGTAAATGGTCAAGATCCCCACCCCTAAACCATATATATTCTGGTTTGTCATGCCAAGATGATTTGAATGATATACAAGGTTAGTCCCCAGGCATCACTAATGCATATAACTTTACTGGACCAAACCAATTTTCACTGGACGTTGCCCAATGTCAGGCGACCCTGGGAATTACGAATTATGGGAGCTTCGTTTGGGAGACTTCGTAACAGCATCCTGTTACAATCATTTCTTGTTGGAATGGAGGAATCGACCAAAATAAAAACCTCCAAAATTTTTCGTATACTTTATTGCCCCTGAATCACGAAATTTTACACCTGCGAAAAAAACCCGCTTTACAGTATCTTTACCTTTTTCATTGCTTTCATTTCACAACCTTGTATGATGCATTTAGATAAGCTTAAATTTTTGCTGTAAAATGCCTACTGTGAAAACAAAGTGAAAATTAGACATAATGAAATTTGCTAATGTACACAGTATGTTATTTTTATTTTCAGCTGGATGTAAATACCAGAACCTGTAAAGTAACCGGGATGATTGGGAATAACAGTCTAAAGCTTATGATAACATTTCCTCATCATTATCCCATCCATGGCGTGCCTTTATTTGAATTCACAGACATATTGGTTGATAACAATGTCATGCTGAGACTGTTGAAGGTATTTTACAAATTTATCAAGAGAGGCCATATTAAGAAATACACTATCAAGAGAGGCCATATTAAGAATATACTGTCATCTTAAATTGGGTACATTTGAGGTTTTTTGGAAAAGTCAGTTGTTTGCATCATAAAGACATGGCTTTTTATATTCTGAATCTAGTCACATTTATAACAAGGTATTTCCCAATTAATTCCTAAAATGAAAAGTTTTGAAATGATGATACACAGTTTTATACCTTAAAATGACACTTTTTGAAATGCGGTGAATGGCAAAGTTACAAGCAATAGTGAAAAAATCAACAGTAATTATGTATCCAATATCTGTTCCCTGATACATACCTGAATGTAAAATAAAGGGAAATAGTCAGCCAATATGTTTTTTGCACAATGGATTGACTGGAAAAGGAAAATCACAAATAAGAAAAACAGTAATGCATTTGTACAATACATAAAAAAAGAATGATGAAAAGTTGAGTGAATAAAGCATTTTGGTTGGTTGGTAGATACATTTTGACTCAATTGGCCAAAAGGAATAAATAAGTCATATTTTGTCAAAATCGTTAGTAGACTCTTTATAGGAGGGATTGCCCTTAAATTATTTTCATAGTCCATAATGTTGGAGAGTGTCCTCTGTTGAAGATGCACACTGACCTAGTATAGGTGAGCAACAAAGGCTCTTTAGAGCCTCTAGTTATTTTGTGATCAATTTTGAAAAATAGTTTTCACAAAAGTTTTTTGTGTTTTTATAAAAATAAGGAGATGAGGTATGATTGCCAATGAGACAACTATCCACCAAAGTTCAAATAAAGTGGATGTAGGCAATTATAGGCAACCGTACGGCCTTCAACAATGAGAAAAACCCATACCGTATAGTTGGCTATAAAAGGCCCCGACATGAAAAATATGAAATAATTCAATTAAGAAAACTATTAGTATTCAACAAAAAAGATTTTACAAAATATTATGTGCATATAATTTAGTGACTGTATAGCTGTGGAAATTAATTTGAAGATAGTTGTTAATATTAGTACTGGTTTAATTTAGGTGTTGAAGGATACAGCAAATAGACATGCCAGAAGGAATTGTCTAGAACCATTACTGAGACAGTTTTCTACAACACTAGATTCATTGTCAGTAAGTATTTATTAGGAATATGATTTCAGGGACACATAACACATAAGTGACATAAAATATGTTGAATGAATTAAAAATTTTCGTCAGCCATTTCTCCAGTACTGCTGAACAGAATGACTTCATATTTCACCAGCAGCTTGATAGTGATGTGTTGTGAAGTGTGGTGCACTTTTAAGATCTGTCAGATACCTACTTCCTGTTTGTGGAATCTTTGAAGTTTTAAATATGTTGAATGACCTTAATCTTTTTTCCACATTTTTCTAAAAATAGTACTGAACAGAATGACTTTATATTTATATTTAGTTAGCAGCTTGGCAGTGATGAGTTGTAACATGTAACTATTTCAGACCTGCTAGATACCTTCCTCCTGTTTTCTGATACTTTGAATTATGATTGTGGGAATGTTTGATAGCACAACATGTGCATTTTTGTTGTATGTTTGTTTGTCTATATCATTTGGCAATTGGCATTCCCAAGCCTCAATGATTTTGCTATTTTAAATAATTTTTTTGCCAGGAATACACTGTTGGGTTTCTAATATAACAGTGACTTTGGAGAGATATATTTGTGAGCTACAGTTCATATAGTTTTCTGACTATGACATCGGATTGTCTACTTATAAGTTACAATATGTTCAAAATAACCATGATAGAAATGTTTTATTATACCCCCGCTTTAAAAAAGTGGGGGTATACTGTTTTACGTCTGTCTGTCTGTCAGTCCGTCCGTCCGTCCCATGAATATTTTTCGTCACATCTTTCTCAGGAACTACATTACAAGGATTTCTGAAATTTGGTGTCAGGGTTTATATGAGTCAGCTATACAGTGTGATGCGTTTTCAGATTCTTCACTCAACTACTTCCTTTTTACCGAACACTTGTATCATTTTACACATGATAGCCAATTTGAAAATTTTCGTCACATTTTTCTCAGGAACTACAATACAAGGATTTCTGAAATTTGGTTTCAGGGTTAATATAAGTCAGCTATACCATATGATGCGTTTTCAGATTCATCACTCAACAACTTCCTGTTTACGGAACTCTTACATATTTTTACACTATTAAAATTATCCACTTGCGGCAGGGGTATCATCAGTGAGCAGTAGCTCGCAGTTTCACTTTTTTTTTTTGTTGCTAATCACTTTATTTACAGTTTCAGACAGAAGAAAGGATAACACCAGATACAGAAAATTTACCTGCATTTTCTCCTTTCTATTTACCTTATGCCCGAGGAGATATACCTTATGTTAAGTTTGGATCCAGACAGGATTCTCATATTCCATTTCCTAGAACTAGTGGTGCAAGATTTTGTTCTGCAGGTATTTTAACATTATAAACAAGAAATTGATATAAGTTATTGAAACAAATCTTCTTTTTTCATATTTATTATTATATGGATAAGGTTTTTGATATGATAGATGATAAGTTATAGTTTTTCTGAAAGCGTTAAACGTATATGATGTTATGATGTTTTCTTCTTCCATCAAAAATTTGTTCTCGTAGTCTTGGTTAAAAAGCCCACTGGAGAATTCTTTATATGTATAAAAATAAGAAGATGTGGTGTGATTGCCAATGATACAACTCTCCACAAGAGACCAAATCACACAGAAATCAAAAACTTTAGGTCCCCGTACGGTTTTCAATAATTAGCAAAACCGATACCGCATAGTCAGGTATAAAAGGCCCCTAAATGACAAATGTAAAACAATTCAAACAAAACTAACGGCCTAATTTATGTACAATATGTGTATGTTTTGTCAAGGTAAAGTTATTTTGTGTCTATGAATGGCATTCTTCAATTTCACCCTTACTAGATTAATGTATTAATAAAAGAAGATATGGGTGATATATCAATGAGACAGCAACTTGACAACAAAAATAACCAAAAAGACATCTACAGGGTATATTGTTGACATTATATACAAAATTATATTTCAATAATCAGTCCTGTAATTTCCCTTTTTCAGAATTTAGAAGATTCTATTCTAATTATTGGTAATTTAATTGTTGAATATTTTATTGGTTTAAAATAAAGGCATTGTTAAAAAACCACAGTGTGAAATATATATTTTTTTCCAGTGGACATTGAGCAAAGATCAATGAATCAATATTTTTATACAGCATGAAACTTATGAATAATGCCTTTTAGGTCATTTAGTTATATTTGGAAGATCAAAAGAAGCACAGAAAGGATCAGATTATACACCAAAGTAAGTTACTGTCTGTGTCATGTGTGATGAAAGTATAAAGGAAGCACAATCATAGGGTCCATTCTAATTATAGTGCAAAAGTTGATTTTGGAGATGAGGTTTTGTACTATTAAACATGCATTTCAACAGTTTATAGTTATTTTAGCCTATGAAAAAAGTATTTTTTTAATAACAAATATTTGTCAAGTAGTGGACTCCACTTAATTGAATCCTTGTTAATTGCATGATCCTGTTATTTGTATAAAAGCCATGTTTATCTCTTACATATGTATTAAAAAAACCTTTTATTTGCTTAGGTAATAACAATCATTCCTGTTTAAAAAAAATACATGATGAAAAACATACAAGTTTTGAGCCTGAAAGTTCTCCTTAGATACATCTTTGTCATTTTGTAGGTAAAATATTTACTATAAATGTGTCTTTTACTGACTGCTGTTTTTATATTAAATTTTCAGGGCAATGTCTGACTTGAACAGCTTAGTTCAGAAAAACAAATTACGTCCACATCAGACAGTTCCCTTCAACTTTGCTACATATTCCCGCAGTCCTCCAACAGCTCAACCTGACATAACTATCGCTACATATTACTATGTAAGTAAAGAAGATTACTTTTTTATTACATAATGTCCAGAAGCATATTCAGTTGGATTGATGTAAGATGTTGATGTTTTCATTTGGAAGATGCTGCATACTGTCGATTCATTATTATTCCTTGGATACCAATTTTCATGAAAAACGTTGTTGTAAATGAATGACGAATTTAAATGTTTAAATTAAAAAATTATATTTCCCTTTGCCAGAATTTATAGGATTATTGGTAATTTTATTGTTCAAGATTACATTGGTTGAATTGTTAACCAACCATAATGTGAAATATTTGCCAATGGGTATTGGGCAAGAGCATATTCAGTTGTTCAGATTTACCAATTATCATGGAAATCATGGTTGTAGATGAACCACAAATTAAAATGTTCAAAGAAATAATAATTTCCTATAGACCTCTTCACAAACTTTTGCAAAACCACATAATCAGATATCCACCAAACTGAAATTTTTCTTCAAACTATAAAAGATTGCTACCTATAAAAATGAAACCACAGTATCTTACTTTTTCCAAAATAGTTTGAAATTTTGTTTAACCCTTTTACTAGGAAATTATAACTTTTTGCCCAACAATGGTTTTATTTCATCTTATTATTTATTTAAATGCACCATTATACACTGCTGGAAAATTTTGTTTTTATTTTTGAAATTTTGAAATTCTCATTTCATACTTATCTAATATGCTTGAAATATTTGCTACTGGAATTTAAGCCACCAAAAATCAGTCAGTTTCTATTTTATTTCCATTCAAAACAACGAGATTTTGATCTTGGAAATATTAACTCAATCAGTCTTTTATCATTCTATACTGGTCATTTTGATGTTTTGTATGTACACTATCATTGAAGAATGTCAAAAGTGGTCCAAAGAAGAACAGAGCACCAGGAAAGAGGTTCAGTACTGATGTAAGAGACACAGAAACCAAGAAACCAAATATTGCTCCCGTTAAAATATATGACAGTAGTAGACTTTTAGCATTGCATAAAATTTTGGGAGAACATTACATGTAAGTAAAGTCATATTAACAATCAGTTCAGTTCCTGAAACAGTTCTTGAATTAAACAGAATTTTCCCCAAAAATATACATGAGATTGTGCTATCAAAACTGATTCCAATTCATGTAAGACCTTTCTTTTTGTAAGCTGTCTCTTGGTATCGGGCCAACCTTTTCAGTGTATACCAGATGCCATTATGAGTGTAGTGTTATTGAAAATTCTGTTTTTATTCCCCTGCATAAAGTATTACTTTTGTATGTATGTCCTTTCCTAACATAAGTCCCAAAAATGGTTTCAGGATGCTAGCTTTAGTAAGCCTTCACTAAGTAATTTGAAATTTTTATCTGAGGAACCACTAAACACAGATCTATTTTGAATTTGACAGATTTCAAGTTTGTCTTTCCAGAGTTAGCCCTCTTTGTAACACAGAACATAGCATATTTTTTTTTGCTTCCACCAAATCATTTGTTATTTTCAATTATGTTATAGTTTTTTTGTCATGGCACTGGCAGTTTCATCTGACCTTGACCTCATGTTCATGGTTCATTGGTCAATGTTAAGTTTTTTGTGATTTGGTCTATTTCTCCGATACTATAAGCAATAGGGCCACTGTATTTGGTGTATGGAATGATTGTAAGGTGTACATATTCTGCCTGGCAGGGTTCATCTGACCTTAACCTCATTTTCATTGTTCATCAGTCAATATTTAGTTTTCATGTTTATTTCTGTTTCTCTGGTACTATAAGCAATAGGTCAACCATATCTTGTGTACTGAATGATGACATGTTGCACATGTTGTCTGGCAGCGTTCATCTGACCTCGACTTCATTTTTATAGTTCATTGGTCAATGTTCAGGTCTATTTCTCAGATACTATAAGCAATAGGTAATTGCATGGTGTGCATATTGTCTGGCATGGTTCATAGGACCTTGACCTAATTTTCATTGATCATTGATAATGTTGAGTATATGTGATATTTGTAGTAAAACATTCATATTACAGACTTTCAACATAAATTCAATCATGATTAGTAAAGCAGACAATACATTTCAACGTGAGCACTCTTCTCTTTTGTTAATACTAATATCAAGTCAGAAATCACACACAATTGATAATTTGTAACTCTATGGATATTAAAATGTTCATGGATTAAGAAAATGTTTATCCTTGTATAATTTTGCTGAAGAAATTTAACCAATTTAACTGTTTTTATGCCCCACCTTACAATAGTAGAGGGGCATTATGTTTTTCGGTCTGTGCATCCGTTTGTTTGTTCGTTTCATTCGTCTGTTCGTGTGTCCATCCATCTGTCCCGCTTCAGGTTAAAGTTTTTGTCAAGGTAGTTTTTGATGAAGTTGAAGTCCAATCAACCTGAAACTTAGTACACATGTTCCCTATGATATGATCTTTCTAATTTTAATGCCAAATTAGAGTTTTGACCCCAATTTCACGGTCCATGGAACATAGAAAATGATAGTGAGAGTGGGGCATCTGTGTACTATGGACACATTGTTGTTCCTAATCAAATAAAAGTTTCTTCTTGGGTTTATGCTAACATTTATATCAAACATAGGATAGGTAGGTTGCTCCCAATGTAGACATGAATTTTTATATGCCCGTCAAGAACTTAAAATTTTTTAATTTACCTATTCAAACCATATCATTATTATTTGCTTTTTTATATAAATCAGAAATAACCAATTTGAAATGGAAAAATTTTAAAGAAAAAAAAAGGAAAAAAAGAAAAAAAGGAAAAAAAATCCCCCCCCCCCCCCCAATTTTTTGAACTCCCTTATGATTCATCACCCCCAAAACTCAATCCCAGCCTTCCCTTTGTGGTATGGTACCTTGCAGTACAATTTCAGAGAGATCCATACACTTGAACACAAGTTATTGTCTGGAAACTAGAAAAATGCTTGTTTTTTTGCCCCTCTTTGGCCCCAAATTCCTAAACGTTTAGGGCAATTACCCCCAAACTCAAACCCAGCTTTCCCTTTGTGCCATGAAACCTTGTAATACAATTTCATAAAGATCCATACACTTACACACAAGTTATTGTCCTGAAACTAGAAAAATGCTTGTTTTTGGCCCCTAATTCCTAAAATTATGAGGCAATTACCCCCAAAATCAATCCCAGCCTTTCCTTTGTGGGATGGTACCTTGGAGTACAATTTCAGAGAGATCCATACACTTGAACACAAGTTATTGTCTGGAAACTAGAAAAATGCTTATTTTTGGCCCCTTATTCCTAAACGTTTTGGGCAATTACCCCCAAACTCAATTCCAGCTGTTCCTTTGTGATATGGAACCTTGTAGTACAATTTCAGAAAGATCCATACACTTACACAAGTTATTGTCATGAAACTAGAAAAATGCTTGTTTTTTCCCCTAATTCCTAAAATTTGGAGGCAATTACCCCCAAAATCAATCCCAGCATTCCCTTTGTGATATTGGAACCTTGTGGTACAATGTCAGAGAGATCCATACACTGACACAAATTATGTCTGGAAGTTACAAAAATGCTTATTTTTTGCCCCTTTTTGGCCCCTAATTCCTTAACTGTTGGTATCATAACCCCCAAAATCAATCCCAACCTTCTTTTTGTGGTATTGAACCTTATGGTAAAATTTCATAGAGATCCATTCACTTAAACTAAAGTAAGAGTGCGAAAACCAATGTGTCTTCGGACGACGACGTCGCCAATATCAAAATTTTGCGGTCGTATAAAAATTGCTGAATTTTTAGTTTCTGTTCTCTACTTAAGTTAGCCTCAACCAAATGTTATGAGACTTACACACAATGCTTATTATCACAAAACTCGGATCAAGTTCAAATTTAGGTAGCGTCACTTTTACTGTTCTTCAGTTATGTCCCTTTATAACTATATGATATGCAAGCGAGGGCATCATCTGTGTCCACATGTGGACACTATCTACATTTATTTTCACATGTCGTGCCGTATCTCAAAAACGATTTATCTTTACTGCTTAAAACTTTACACACTTCTTAGTTATATTAATCTAAAGATCTGTATACTTTTTGGTGATGATTCAGAATTTTATTTTAGAGTTATTGAGTGTTTTGTAAAAAAAAGGGGAGGGCGAGGAGGTTTCACATGTCGCGCCGTATCTCAAAAACGATTTATGATTATTGCTTAAAACTTGACACACTTCTTTATTATATTAATCTAAAGATCTATATACTTTTTGGTGATGATTCAAAATTTTATTTTAGAGTTATTGATTTTTTTATAAAAAAAAGGGGAGTTTTCACATGTCGCGCCGTATCTCAGAAATGATTTATGATAATTGCATAAAAGCTCACATACAAGACAAACGGGCGTATCATGCACTCGTGACGCAGCTGTTTATTTATTATGTTTTAGTATTAATACCGGTTTGGTTTTACAGAATAAACAAGTCAGATATATCTACAATGTGTAAACACAATACCAGTGTTGCTGCCACTGTTGGCAGAAAAGATCTTGTTCAGGTAAAATTTTTCTTGTAAAGAATAATGAGAACAACATATTAAGATATATAATACTGTTTTCATCCCATTAAATTTGCAAATAATAAGAAAAGGAGATGTGTTATACATGAATGAGACAGCAACCCATAGATACAAAAAAACCAATGGACATCAAGAGGTCAAAATGATTTCTTCATCAAAAGACCGCTGTCTATACAATATATCAAGTAGGATTGGCAAAGTTTTACCCTGTTTGGAAATCCTGATTAGAAAACATAGGTTTTTCTGGGACTGAGCAATACTCCCAAAAATGTTAATACTGGGCAAAATGATTTTAAGCTCACCTGGCCCAAAGGTGACACAAAATCAAAATCAGGGAATGACATTGATGACATAAGAAAAAAAAGAAGACTGTTAAATTTTTGAGGTTGAAATATCTAAAAAGCAGAAGATTTGAAACTTTGAACGGAACAGGGCTTGAAATTCAGGAGATTTTTACTCTGCCGGAAAAATCACATGTCGGAAAGATACAAAGTCAGTATTTAATTCTATAATAAATATCTAAAATGAAAACTGAAAGATGAATTAAAGGCTGAAGTAGAAGAAACCAAAGTTGTACGACTTAAAGTGAGATAGCATCACACTTCTGCAATATAAATTATTTTCAAAAAACACACATTTTCTCTTATTGCAAATTGTTTGTTTTTGTCGAGCCTGCGACTTTTGTCGCAGAAAGCTCGACATAGGGATAGTGATCCGGCGGCAGCGGCGGCGGCGTTAGCTAACTTATTAAAAGCTTTATATTTTAGAAGGTGGAAGGTCTGGATGCTTCATACTTTGTATATGGATGCCTCATGTTACGAAGTTTCTGTCAGCCACATGTCCAATGTCCTTGACCTCATTTTCATGGTTCAGTGACTACTTGAAAAAAAAGTTCAGATTTTTTGTAATGTTAAATTCTCTCTTATTATAAGTAATAGGATAACTATATTTGGTATGTGCGTAACTTGCAAGGTCCTCATGCCCGTCAGACAGTTTTCACTTGACCTCGACCTCATTTCATGGATCAGTGAACAAGGTTAAGTTTTGGTGGTCAAGTCCATATCTCAGATACTATAAGCAATAGGTCTAGTATATTCGGTGTATGGAAGGACTGTAAGGTGTACATGTCCAACTGGCAGGTGTCATCTGACCTTGACCTCATTTTCATGGTTCAGTGGTTATAGTTAAGTTTTTGTGTTTTGGTCTGTTTTTCTTATACTGTATGCCATAGGTCTACTATATTTGGTGTATGGAATGATTGTAAGGTGTACATGTCTAGCGGGCAAGTGTCATATGACCTTGACCTCATTTTCATGGTTCAGTGGTCAAAGTTAAGTTTTTGAGTTTTGGTCTTTTTTTCTAATACTATATGCAATAGTTCAACTATATTTGGTATGTGCGTACCTTGCAAGGTCCTCATGCCCGTCAGACAGTTTTCACTTGACCTCGACCTCATTTCATGGATCAGTGAACAAGGTTAAGTTTTGGTGGTCAAGTCCATATCTCAGATACTATAAGCAATAGGTCTAGTATATTTGGTATATGGAAGGACTGTAAGGTGTACATGTCCAACTGGCAGGTGTCATCTGACCTTGACCTCATTTTCATGGTTCAGTGGTTATAGTTAAGTTTTTGTGTTTTGGTCTGTTTTTCTTATACTATATGCAATAGTTCAACTATATTTGGTGTATGGAAATATTTTATGATCTATTTGGCAGTCACGCAGGTTTTATTTGACCTTGACCTCATTTTCAAGGTTCATTGCTCAGTGTTAAGTTTTTGTGTTTTGGTCTGTTTTTCTTAAACTATAAGCAATAGGTCAACTATATTTGTTGTATGGAAGAATTGTTAGCTGTACATGCCTGCCTAGCATGGTTCATCTGACCTTGACCTCATTTTCATGGTTCATTGGTCAATGTTTAGTTTACTTGGTTAATGTTAAGTTTATGTGACAGTTGTAATAAAACTTTATATTTAGGACTATCAACATAATATCAATGATTAGTAAAGAAGGCGAGACATTTCAGCGTGTGCACTCTTGTTCTTATATGTTAAAGAGATTAGGTACCACCTGGCTTATATTGATTTTGTATTTATTTATAGCTGTGGTCATTGGTGGCATTAACTGCTGATAAACGACTTCAATCATCTGAAGATCCAGATGAAGGTCCACCCTGGGGTCGACATCCTTTTGGTAGAAATTTAATGCAATCATTGTAAGTAATAATTGTTGTAAGGTTTATACAGTCTGTTACTATACTCAGCTTGAAAATGGAAATCTATACTAGTGTTATTCTAATCACATTTAAATACAGGTCCTTTGTGAGGGTAGGAAAGGGGTATCCCACATGATGACTGACAGTAAAATATTTGTTAAAATAACGTTAACAATTATTATTTTACTTTATTTAACGCTAAGGGGAGCTACTAAATGAGATTTGAAGAAGATGTTAAAAAATTAAGGCTCATTTGATGGTAACGGTATCTTAAAACAGACGTTTGGCACTTGATGATAAAAGGCATTCTTCCCTCCTGTGTCCTCGCTTTCCTTACAAGGATCTGACGCTGTGTTCTACTTTCTGTTTTATAGACCTTTCAGGATCCTCTGGTTTTATCGTAATGATACATACCTTCAAAAATGTGTAGATAGGAATCTCAAATTACCAAAACAGAAAGTAGAATGGAATGTTGTCAGATCCTTGTAAGCAAACTGTAGACATATAGGATCTGTATTAAACAGAAAGTAGAATGGAACATTGTCAGATCCTTGTAAGCAAACTGTAGACATAGGATCTGTATTAAACAGAAAGTAGAATGGAACATTGTCAGATCCTTGTAAGCAAACTGTAGACATAGGATCTGTATTAAACAGAGAGTAGAAATGAACAATGTCAGATCCTTGTAAGTAAACTGTTGACATAGGACCTGTTTTAAACAGAAAGTAGAATGGAACATTGTCAGATCCTTGTAAGCAGACTGTAGACATAGGATCTGTATTTGAATCAGATTGGTTTATTCATTTACAAGAACCTGATATTTTTGTTGGGTGTATAGACTTGTAATTGAACATATTGGTCATGAACTGTCTATATATTTTACATATGTTGCCTGTAAAAATAATTATCTTACCTCCTATACATTTCCAGGAATATCATTGATTAAAACCAACCGCGTGGAGACCGTGTATATTTCATATGGGGTTAGTAGGCATGGCTTATTTCAATACACGGATAGAAGTGGTGTTACGTCCCTTTATAAATACAACACGACGTTGGGATAAAACTGAAACGTTTCAACAAACGAAGAAATTGATGATGAACAATTGAAATAAATGCAGAAAACACATTAAAAGCTAACAAGTTGTTATTGTTGGCATTTGTTTTTGTATAGACCAATGAAAGTAGGTTCTTTATATTGAAGACTTGATCACTTTGATCAGGGTTGGAAAAGTATTACCTCCCCCCCCCCCCCCCCCCCCCCCTTTTTTTCCCGGGCTGGGCAATACTGGGCAATATGATTTTTTAAGCTTATTTTAACACAAAATAGTAAAGACTTGTTATAGTTTCATAGCATTATAGCTAAATATATACATTTTATACAGATAACCATTGAGAGTCATTTCTAGAAGATTGAAAATTCAATTTCATTCTCTTCTCCACTAATTCCATGTAGGCAGAATTCAAGATTTGCACATTTTAGGATACCTTGTTAATTTCCAAGCATTGTTTCAATAATCCAAACTTTGAAAAAATGCATTTTATTTGAATGTTTAAGTGAATTGTAAATTTAAATTGCTATGCAATCATACTGCTAAATAAACACCCTACATGGTCATGTCATTAACACTTATAGAAATGAAAAGGCTGATTATTGTTATATAAACATATCTGTGTTCTAATCTGAATAATTACTTATTAATTAGTGATGTACATATAAATTATTTAAAAGTAATTTTTTTTACCTGTAAGTGTTAATTGTTAATATTAGTTATATATATTTGAAAAAAAAAAAAAATTCTTTGGCTTTATGTTAACAGTTTGACCAATCTAGACAGAATGGTAATTTAATAGTTTTTTAGGAGAATTATTGCGAAAGGCTTTTTCCATTAATATTTGTCTAATGTGTCTTCATGTACACTTGTCTCAGAGTTGCTAGAATAATACTTTCTCAAATGTGTACACTTGTATTATAAGACTCTCAAACAAGTTAACTTATCTATAAATCAAAATATGTTTATAAATATCTTAAATGTATTGCATTTGTGTTTGATCACTGAATCCTCTTTAAAATTCAGGCCAGTATTTTATATTACCCAGTATTGCCCAGTATTACCCGGTTAAACCCAGTAAAACCCGGGTTTTCCCAGTATTTCCCACTGGGCTGGGCAATACTCATAAAACCCGGGTTTTTGCCAACCCTGACTTTGATAGGCCACTAGTCTAAATGCCACATGATAAGATAGTCTGTAAGATAAATTCGTAACACAGTGTGCTAGTGACCCAATACAATATATATGGGGTCAATAAATTTCTTATGGGGTTCGAGTTTCGCTCTCACCCCATATGGAATTTACTGACCCCATATATATTGTATTAGGTCACTAGCACACTATGTAACTAATAATATGTGCAAATGTAAATTAAGTATTAAAATGTTGTGGGCATTCATAAAAATATTAAATCCATAAATTCAGGCAAATGTAAATCTCCCATAAACTCCACTCTTCACAGAAAAAATTCACTTACAGCCTGAGGACAGGAATGTAACTGAACAATACAATGAGTTTAAACTAATACACCTTATTGATATTTGTTCGCCATTATTGTCCATCACAAACATTCCTGTAAAATTTGTACGTCATAAGAGAAAATGTCTGAGGCAAAAGTAAAAGTTGTATGGTGTCAATAGTTAAAGTATCTCAAAATCTGGGTTCAAATTTCACAGATTCTGAAATAGAGATGAGGTTTAAAGGTGAGAGATGAAACCCAGCGATTCTTTTCACAAAAATCTTATGTAAAAAAATACTTGTGAGTCATGAACATTCAATATAAGCATTACGTATGATAAATTTTTGTTGTAAGATTTTTTGTGAAAAGACACCCCTGCCCCTTAATAACACTTTTATGATAAAGCTGTTTGTTTTTGATTTTTGTAGAATGGAATATTATATAAAACTGAGAGATGTGCAGACTTTAGCAATGTTATGTTGTGTGTTCTGGAATGGTCAGGAACTGATGGCGCCACCTCCACCCAAACCACAGCAGTCAATATCAGTAGAATATTCAACACCACCAAATGTAAGATCAAAATTTCCTACCATGCTCAAATTTAATGAAAATAATATATGTATATGAATGTTTTTAAAGTCATACCTTAGAATACTGTGAATTCTTTTATTTTTTGTGGACACCAATTTTTGTGGATTTAAGAAAAATTGTAAATACTTGATTGTGTGGAGTTCACAAATTCTGCAAACAAGCCTAAAGTCAATTTGTATTTATTTGAACATTATAATTCATGGTCAATCTATACCCACGAAATTCACACATATTAGTACCCTGCAAATAAGAATGAATCCAAAGTATAGAAAAAAGTTTTATTTTTTTGGATCAGAATAGAATACTCAGAAAACAGAAAAAACACAAGTTTGCTCTGTTTTAGGGAGAGGTAAATGAAAAATTGAATTATCAGAATTTGTTGAAGATTTAAACAACTATTCAAAAATGATGGCTGAATTTCAAATGAAAATGTTTTTAACTTTGAAATTACAATACTGCAATGAGTTTGGAAGTCACACACACACAGGCAAAGATTGCCTTCTATGGTTTTAGCTTTACTCATTTGTTCTTGCATTTGCTCTCTCCAGTGTTTTATATTTTTGGCTTTCCTTACTTTTGGTCTCAAGTGTACTTGATAATAGTTTTTCCAGAAAATGTGGTGTGTACACAGAAAATATTCCAACATTAGACAAGTGTCTATACAATATGTTATTCTCTGAAATGCCCTGAGTCTAGAAAAGTTAAAACTGTAAAGTGATACATTTACAGTAACTAGATCTGCATTCTCAAAAAATGCCTATAAATAAGATTTTGGAGACCAAAAGTACAGAAAGCCAAACATTACATACACAGGTGAGCTCAAAATCAAAAGGGCATAAACAGAACAGCCAAAAACTGTTAAAAGGTCAACTGTGCCTTAGAGATCTGTAACCTTAGCTTTAGAACAATTACACTGTAAATCATTGTTTTTATTTTAGGACAGTTACCCATGTCCAATTCCTAAAATTCATTGCCTATTCCTTAGCTTTAAAGCAGATTAAGCTTGTATTTTTATGTTATCTAATAGAAAATACATTTGAAATGATGTCAGTGTCTTAGACAATTTTGTGTCTTTAGACATGTCTTAACATGAATAATGTCTTTATTAAAGACATGTCTAAGGACAAGAATTTGTCCCAAGATGTTTCAAGGCACTGAAGATCATTTGTTATGTATTACTATTGCAGAGAAACCATTTACTTTCATGTATTTAAAAATTCACCATTTCAGAATCAAAGGAATTGTGGGTATTATTTTCAAAAGTATGTCTGAACATAGTGATTGGTTTAGAACATTCTGAATAATTTACATCTAAAGTCAATAATAATTTAATGCTTTTGGGGGTAAAGATTGCATGAAATCAAATCAAAATCTTCATATTGTCATTGGCTTTTTATCTGTATTTTCAAAGCCTCATCTCTATGTTTGAGAGCACAAACAACATAGTGCAGGGAATTGAACATACTTCAGATCCTATCCATGTCCATGTCAAGCATTTCATTAATGATTTATACCCAGATTTTCAAGTTACAATTATGATGTCACATCATGTGCATAGTCATGATTATCAAGAAAACTGTCATATTGAAAATTTTATAAGTTGTGCATGGTATATGAATCTATATGTTCTAAAAATCAACTATAATTATATATTATGGACAAAGGGAAATAACTCCAATTTTGAATATTTTCTAAATGTGTTCCATTGCTCAATACAATGAAAGGTTTGATTTAAGTTCACATTGCAAAATGAAAACAACCTTTTCCCTTCAGTGCTAGACTTTGATTATATTTGTAGGACTCTAAAATGCAATGGTACTCTAAAGTGTGATGGTCACGCTAAAGTGTGATGGTCTACGCTAAAGTGCAATGGTACGACACTCTAAAGTGCGATGGTATATGACATGCTAAAGTGCGTTGGTTTAACACGCTAAAATGCGATGGTGTAAAGGGAATGGGGTTCAGGCAATGGTTTTTGATTTTTGCTGTGTTCATATTAGTTTTTCGTCTATTGTATTTTTTCTAAATCATGTCGTTGTCTTTCTCTTTTGATATGTTTTACACAAGTCATTTCGTGATCCTATATAGCTTTCTATGCGACGTAAGCCCAGGCTCTACTTTGAAGGTCATAACGTTATTAGGTGCATGAATCAACGATATTTCGTCTTTGGTGGATATTTGTTCGTTGAAAATTACACCACATCTTATTTGTTTTTTTGTTTATTGTTTATTTTGTATATAAATCATTCCGTGATCTTTCTCTTTTGATTTGTTATACACTGGTCGTTTTGATACCCTTTGGTCGTTAAAGAATACTATCTGCGGGGTTAGCCATACGGTAACCTATAGTTAATTACATTAATGACATTAAACATTGGATAGCAACTTGTCTCATTGGCAATCATATTATGATACTATATCTCTGGTCGTTAGGTTACTGTCTTGTTGATGAGTATCCATCTCTTTTACAGACATGACGAACCATATTTTAAAAAATTGTTTTACAAAATTATTCAAGTAGAAAGTTAAAAGTTTCTCGTTTTTTATATAGATTAGACCGTTGGTTTTCCCGTTTGAATGGTTTTACACTAGTAATTTTTGGCGCCCTTTATAGCTTGCTGTTTGGTGTGAGCCAAGGCTCCGTGTTGAAGACCGTACTATGACCTATAATGGTTTACTTTTATAAATTTTGACTTGGATGGAGAGTTGTCTCATTGGCACTCATACCACATCTTCTCATATCTATTTATTTCACGCAAGTAAATGACATGGGACGAACTAAATACTTTGACACTTATTGTATTTTCGCTCTCTTTCACGGTATACACCTTCCCCTTACTAACGTCAGTTTCTATGTTTATGAGAATTTTTTTTTTTCCAGTATGACACAGCGGGATCAATGGTTTGCATGGATCATATGTTTCTTGTTTGGTAGAAAATCTTTATCTGCACAAACATTCTCGTTTACTGGCATGTCCATTTTTGTTTGTACAAACGGCTTGTAGAGTCATAATGCGATTTAACGTTGCAAATGTCAATACTTCGAGGAAAAACGCACTTTAGCGTATCGTAGCATGTGCCATTAAATGGCGCAGACCATCGCACTTTAGCGTATCAAACCATCGCACTTTAGCGTATCAAACCATCGCACTTTAGAGTAGGCCATCACACTTTAGCGTGATCATCGCGTTTTAGCGTCCCTATCGCACTTTAGAGTCCTACATATTTAAGTACCTTTTCATGAAATTGCCTTTGGTCCTTCATAGATTCTTAAATGGTGAATTTATATCAGCTACTGTAAAAGTATTAATGTTTAAAGTGTACTAATTTTCCATCGCATAAAGGCATAAAAATAACACCACAAAAGGAACTATCTACAAAGCAAAATACTTATATTAAACTCTGAAAATAATTACTCCTGCACATGCGGTGACTAACAAAATCATGAAAAAATGGATGCAGTGAAAATTAATACTTTTACTGTAGTATATTTAAGTCATTGTTGAAGTAAAAATGCCAAGAGATAGGTGGAGCTTATTATGCTTTAGGATTTGTTATCTTTGAACTTCTTTTCACACATGCTTTTTAAAAAAAATAAAATTATTTTCAAGCTTTCGTAACTTCTTCAGATGTGAAAAGAAATAGAATTATAAGTCTCTGCCAACAAACTTTTAAGTGTTCTAATCTTGACATCTATAGATTGTATACTTGAAAGTTAATTTGATTTGAGCATTATTATTTAGGATTTCTTCTTCCAATATTAGTGATATATGCATGAAATTTTTATGATAACTATTTGCATAACAAAAAAACGACCAAAAAAAATGTAGTACTAAACATTCAAAAGAATTATTTATACAAATGCATTACAACACAAAATATAAACAATGATTTGATAAGAAATAACATAAAACAGCGATGTTTGTGCCTGGTATCTCTTTACTAGAATGAAGCTAGTTATTCTTTGGGAAGTACTGACAGCGGCTGGAATGTTTTACGTAAGTCTTGCACGGCAGGAACTATTGGTAGGATTATTTTTCTCTACTTTCTTCCGTCAATCTATTAAAAAAAATTTATATAAAAAAAAAAAGATTGAAGGATGATTTGAGAAAAATAATCCTCATTTATTCATATAAATTGTAATTATGGCTAAAAATTGTGGTATTTAGGCATTTCCATACAGGTTCATGTGACAACATCTTTAATTGAGACTTTTTATGTCAAAATTAAGACTTTGAAAGAAATGTACTTATTTATAAATATTGGCAATGTTTTAATGAAAGTATTCTAAATATTTTAAATGATACAAAGAAGTTTAGATTTTAACTTTCTTTTCTTTGATTGTTACCTCAAGCTCAACCACATTTCAATAATTTAATACTGGAGATGTGTTGTTAAAGGTTGTATGGAAAGTTGCTATTTAGTCTTTTAAGTTCCCTATTTGTTATAGTTCTTAATATTTGTATTAAAATATTTATTTTCAGGGATTATTGACTGTTTATTTTTTACCTTACTGTGCATAAGAATACCTGTGTAAGAAAAAAACAGGGCCACAATTTGCCTGTTAGGGTAAAGATAAACAGAAAATAGTCATATCAATTGGTTATGGGATAGTAAATTACACTTAGATGCATTAAACAGAGGGATAACAAGTAGTCAGTGTGCACTGAAGCCCCGAGAATGTTTTTCATCAAATTCCATAACATTCTGTGGATCCATTATTATTCATGGGCATACCTGCCAACTTTTCAAAATCTCAATGGGGGATTTTATGTGCAAGAGGACCTTATGCTCCTCTTATATTGTAATAAGTGTTCTTAATCTACTACTGTATTGTTTAAATGTGTATAAAACTATATATGTGCTTAGATACCCTTTTTAACTCATTTTAATGTCTGTTTTAAGGTTTTATTATTAAGAATTTCAAAATTTAGGTCAACACCTCTCAGGGGGGATATCCCCATATATCGGGATAGTTGGCAGGTCTGCATGGGACACCAGTTTTCATGGATACAGCTGAACCATGAATTTAAATGTTCAACGAAATACAAACTTTCTAGAGGCTTGTATGCAGACATCAAATCAAATATCCACAAAACTACAAGTTTTCTGCCATCCATGATAATTGGTACTCACGAAAAATAAATGAATCCCCAGTACCTGTTTTGTATTTTTTTCTTCTGTGGCTTTCTAAACACTGACTTCTTTATGCTTTTCTAAACAACCATTTGGATTTTAAAACGTCTCATTAGTTAATATTTTGGAGTATAATTTTGTTTACCTCCACTCCTACTGCTTTGAAGCTTCAATCTTTTCTTGCTTTTTATTGTGCCATATTAAAAAAAAGCTAACTTATTTCTTTAATATTTAATGCACTCTTGATAAAACTTTTGTGACTGCATACGATCTAAGTTTTCACTCTTTTGCCGTTAATACCATATATATATATATATGCATTTAATAACCTTTAAATGGCTAATTTCACAACCTTTTAATTCACATCTTCAAAATGGTTGTTTAGAAAGTTTATTATTTGGGTGTGAGTTAATAAATAATATGAATATTTAAAAATCTTACTGACATGAGTATGTCCGATTCTTTTTCTTCAGTACAACCCATATCATACGGTATCTTCCATGTCAAACCTTGTGAAGGGCTTGCAGAGTAAGTCAGTGTTACCAAATAACTAAAAAAGGCTGAATATAACTACTAGCTTAGAATGTCTGTCAAACATTTTGTTGCTTTTGATTTTCTTTATTTCGGTGTCCCTCTGGTGCTTTCCATTAACAGGTTGACCATTTTTAGACTGGTTGTTTGTTACAATTTAGAGCTTATCAATACTTATAAGAGATTGGGCAGCTTTAGGTCAAAACACAGAAAATTACATGTTTAATAGCTTTTGTGTTAGAATAAATTGTTGCTTTTAAAAGTTTATATTTACTATACAATTTTATTTAACTTTTTTTCATTAACTAAAATGAAAAATAGAATTAGAAAAAAATAATTAAGAAAAAGAACATTTTCACATATTATTGAAAATTGTTATTTTGTTGACTAAATAACTTATTTTTATATGCCAAACGTTAATGGTACATATGTAATATGATAAACTGCTGTCCATTGGTCCATCTACAATAAATGCAGGTAAAATTTCTTCGACTGATTTTTACTTGATTCAACACAAAATAATTTTTTGTGGAAAATATCTCCAATGATTACCTGCAATTTTGTTGTCTTTTGGGTTATATGTGCAACTTTGATTGTAAATAACGATGATTTTACCTATATTGGCATAAAATTTTACACAAATATTTCAACCAATATAGATGCATGCTTTTACATTTTGATGATTTTCTAATTTGTTGTTTCGCAGCAGTGAGACTATCATCCCTTTTTCGCCATGAAAATGACAGATGTATCATAAGTTAAAAAGCACAGTTGTTTATACTATCTTTATACTGTAATTTATCTCTGCATTTCCTTAAAAATGTTGATTAAAGTACTGTAAGGTTTAAATATGAATTAAATAGACCTAAGAAAAAGAGAATATGTTGATCATTTTAAAATTTTGATAAAAATTGTTCCATTGTTTTGTTCAATGTGGCTTTGCTGTTCATGCAATCTGCTAATAGAAAGTGCAAGTTACGTATACAGATTGTTTACTGTAAAATGAGAAATTTTCAATAATTTTGTGAATTAGATAAAATTACAAAAAAAACTTTTCCCACATTTTAATTTTATTTTCATGGTGAATAAGAGTTGGGGTTCAGGAACAAGAAAAACGTGAAGATCTCTTGAATAGGTTTGGACTTGGAAAATCGTGAAAATAAACCATTTTACAGTAATAAAGCATCTAGAAATAAAAAAAAAACAAACAAAAAAAACTGCAATGATATGAAGCACATTAGCATGTTTAGTGATGTGGCTAGAAAAAGAATACTTTAAAATTAAAATTGAGCAAACAACCAGTTCGACCAAAATTTAATCACTAAATACTTGTAGTGTGTCATTTATCACTTGTGAATTGTTGTACAGATATATGCTAATTTAAAGTTCAGAGGACTATTTTAACCTATATTTTATATAGTAATTCACCTTTCTTAAAAATAATTCTTTCACCCCTTCTGAGTCCCTTGAGTTCACCCATTTTTGTGGGGTTTGTTTTACACAAGCTACTGTTTTCTGTGTAGTGTTTTGCCAAATGTTGTCTGCTCATCTTTTTTATTTTGGCCTTGGTATTGTCCGTCTTTTTTCTGTTTTTGGTTTTTGATTGTGCCTTTTGTATCTTCTTCCCTTTGTTCACCATAATAACATGATTGATGTTCATTGAATTATTCTAATTGTTTAAATACACTTGAACTTGTATTGTCCATCATTTAGAAATTTTGCAGTTTGAATTTACAAAGTTGGCATTTAGTGTTACCCTTGTCCGTGCATTGGTCCGTACATCCCAAAATTAGTTTTCTGTTCTCTAAGTTTAGTTTGCTTCAACCAAATGTAATGAAACTTATACACAATGCTTATTACCACAAAACACAGATCAAGTTCGAATTTTTGGTGGCGTCACTATTACCATTCTTGAGTAATGTTCCTTTATAGCGTTATATGCAAGCACGGACATCATCTCTGTCCCATGGACACATTCTCCATTACAGCTAAGGAAAAATAAGTTACAAAAAAGTTAAAAACTTCTAAGTAAATTCTGTGAAACAAGAAAAAATGAAAATGAATGAGTAAAACAATTGAAAATTGTAGTTCTCATATACTAATAGTAATAATTTCACATCAATTATGGTTAGCTACACATAGTCCATTCCATATTTTTTTAAAGATGGTAGTTTTGTATTGAATATTTTGGCATTTGGAAAAATAGTCTTGTGAATTTGATTTTGGCATGTATGTGTATAAACATGTACAATAAATAACAGTTTGGTGTGTTAGATGTATCATTTTATTTATATCCATGGTTCCTTGTTGTATAAAACAAAATTATTTAAAGAAATTATAGATCTCTCCAACTGCCTCTTTTGTCTATTGACACAACTTGATGTCCAATATGAGCATAGTCCAATTTTGATAGATGTTTTGAAAAAGGCATCCTTTGAAATTATAGACCAATTTAGCCAAAAATATGCTTGCCTGAAACATTTTCTCCTTTTCATAGAAGTCATATGATCAATATAGGCCTTTACAGCCGCTAGATAGTTTTACAAATTTAGACACAAAGAAAATTCAAGTAAATGTATTTTTACGGTAATTGGTCACTCACAAATGTCTGTGTTTCAAGATCTATTGCATAATTTGATTTCTTTAGCTCCGTAAATAATATTCATAGATTTTCAACACCAATTATCAAGATAGCCCTTCTATTTTTTTGTGGAGGAGAATGATTGGTCAACCTGAAGTTTAAAAGCTACAATGTCCAGCATGAATAAATGTTATGTTTATATTTAAGTATGTTGATCCATACATATTGTATATTCAAGATTTCTTTCTGTTATATTTCTAATATGCTATTTTATTTAGTTCCCACCAATTTAGACTTTCCCTGAATGAGAAATGCTGTATTCATTGGATGTTTGTGTTCTTTTGAAATATATTCAATGAATAAAAATTGATTCACAAACTTGCTGTATATAGCAGAGTGAAGTCCTACAAAGTTTATGTAGTTGTTTATTGTATAAGTGGTATTTTTTTTTTACATCTGGTGAAATCAGTCATTCGCATACACGATCCCAAATTGAGTTTGATATCTGTTGACAAAATTGTAAAAATAATGCTCTAACCTGTTCGATAACTTTGATTTTTACAACACATTGTCGTGTAAGATTTCCCACTAAATTTTGAAAATTTATCTTGCTTGAATAAATATCTCAATCATCAGAGCATTCTGGCAGATTCTATATGAAACAAAAACTGAATTTCTTGCATTTGACACTCTTTTCCTTGATACCAGAGTGTTGAACCTTGTTGGCTAAATCTAAACCACATCGAAAAATACCACTTATGTGATGGTTAATAATATTATATTTTGTCATACATTAAGATCAATGTGATCTTTGTTTATGCTTGCTATTTTGTTGCTTTGTTCATATAGCAATACTTTGTTTTATGATGTTTTTGAGGGAGTTGGTAGGATAAGTCCCAAGCCCCCACCACAAATAATAAGACAAGGTAAAAGCATTTATGATTAAATTTACATTTATTTATTTTTTGTACTTTAGTGTATGAATTTAAATAAATTATATGTTTACTTGATTTGATAAAAAAAGCTACATTGAAAAAGGAAAAAAAAAGACTTAGTCTGTGTACTTACTTATAGAATTATTTTGAAAATGTCTGTTTTCTTCTTATTTTTATAACTGTATTTAATTTATTTTTAGATAGACCTATGTCTGCTTCAACTAAGAAATTAAAGAAAACAGTTAGATATATATTGATATATAAACATTTGAATAAACAAATTTATAAAATTCTTGTCCTACCTCTTCCTTTAAAATCATTATAAATTTCCTAAATAAAATGTTTATTGTTTGTTTGTTTGTAGGCTTTGAATACCATGTTCTAGTAAATAAATAATTTCATGGCAGTGAGTCATTTGTCTTGAGTCCCATAGTGTAAACTACCAACTTTTCAGTAACAGACTCTTTCACTTATATTTACTTGTGAATAGAGTGCACCTTTAATTCCTTCACACAATGTCAGGGCAGTAAATAATGGAACTAGAATTCCAAGGGTAATTTTCCCAATCTTTGTCAAATAACTAGCAAATTCAGTGCACCCTGCCATTTTTTGCAAATGACTGAATCCTTACATTGTGATTATAGGCTGAAGTGATCAGAACAGGTCTATAATTTGCAAACAAAATTTACCTACCAAATTTAATTGTCTTAATGGGTGGAATGGTGTTGTAGGAATGTGGTCTTTATCCCTACTACTCCTGTTATGGGCTGAAGTGATCAATACACATCTGCCACTTGCCATGGCAATTTCCCAACTTAAAGGATTATAAAAAAAGAAAAGGGGGAGGGTTCAGGCTGCATACTGATGTTGACTAAGAGTAGGTCCACTTGGTAATTCTGTAAGTCTATTGTGTATTGCAAATTTCATTTTAAGTTACATTTAGGATATATATATATTTATTATCATTTTTATCTACATGATATATCAAACATAGTCTTATCTTTTCTAAGTATTGTCTGAACAGTTTAGAAAAGGTAGTTTTTTTCTATACAGTGAATGAATATACCTGAATATATAGTAATAATTATTTGGTTTTCTTTTATTAAAATAGTATATTTGATAGATGTTTTAAACTATATTTATTTCAGATTATTCAGAACATCACTTTGTACTAACAGTATTGCTCTCATTTGAACCTTGACCTTTTGATATTTGAACTTGTAACCATACCAACTATATTTTATTTACACTGGTTAGATTAAAAAAAATCAAATGAATTATGTTATTATTGCTAAGGGTAGATATTGTAAATGTCACATTTCTTATGTTGAAGGACATTTAATATTGTTAATGGTCAAACTCTTTTGGTGATATAGTTAACTCTTATTAACATAATTATCTTTGATTTATATGTTCAATTACTACATCCTAGCTCACATGACCTAAAGGCCAGTGTGAGGTATTGCCATTACTTGGTGTCCATTTTCTGTCATAAATTTTAAGAAATTTTCTTTTCCATCTTAAGAAGCTATTTCAAAATTTAGTAAAGGTAAAAAAAACTTGGCCACTAGATCAACCTCTTCAGCAATTCTTTAAATAAGACATAGTGAAAAAATTGACAAAAAAATAAATATGGTAAAATTTGGAAAAATCCTGTAAGGGCTAATTTGCTACAAAACTTAGAAAAAATGATAAATTTTTAATCCTCTCTTAAGAATTATAGTTGGTGTTCAAACCAGTTGCCAAAAATCACAGATACTGAAACAGAAAATTTGACCAAAATATTGTTAAGATGGAAATCCTCATAAATAGTTAGGTGGCTTTTAATGTACAGTTGTGTAATAATAAGTTACAAAATTCATTTGGCCTACTTTTGACCTAATTGCAGCCTTTAAACTTTTGTACCTATTAGTTGTAACAGGTCATTTGTTGGTGTCATTCTGGTTGATCTAATTTTGACCTTGTTATGACCTTTGGCCTTTTGAAATTTTAGTTCTGTTTCAGTTGCCCCTTCAATTATTCTGCTTATGTTATGAATACTTATAAATCTAATATCAGCTAGATTTTTTTTCACTCTTGCTTTAATTTCATAAAAATTTAATATAAAAAAAAATTATCTCTGAAAGCGGGGCAGTGAAACAGACTTGAATCACCCAAAAAGTAGCATGTGTTTTGTTTTTATTTTATATTTAATGAAGTGTCTTGCAGCTAGAAAACATAGTTTTCCACTATTGTTATAGTATTGGAGAACATTTTTCTTTAATACAATAAACAAGGAATTATTTGAATCTGCAATAATTTTGAATTCTGGAAAATTGATAAGAAATATATGATGAAAACTAACCCAAATTAGGAGGTTTTTTGCATGCATGGCTAAGGGGGTTAGTTAGTTCGCACTGAAATATCAGTGAAAGTTAGATTAACCTTAGCCATGCATGGCTAACCCTATTTAATTGGGTTAGTTTTCATCATATATTTCTTATCAATTTTCCAGAATTCAAAATTATTCCAGATTCATTTAATTCTTTGTTTTTACTGCTTTGCTACAGGTGCCTGGTGAGCGAAACAAGGCTTTTCTTGAGTCTTGACTATTCTAACAATGATACTAAAAAATGACAGCAGTGAAAAATGTACTAAAACTATAATATTTCATAAAGATGATTCTAAAATTTATCACTTTGTATTCTACTAGAAAGTGACATTGTTACTAATTATCACATTTTGTTTGGTTTTCATTTTGTTTGATCACCACTAACCTTGCTTCATTATAGCTCTTCCTGTTGCCAACAAGCTAGCTGATATTGTTAGCCTGCTATCACCACCTCTCTCAGAAGTCTCATCACACCCTAACCTTCCTGAGTTAATACAACCAACCAACCAAGGTATGTCATGGTTGGGGATGGGATCTTGTCAAACCCTAACCTTCCTGAGTTAATTCAACCAACCAACCAAGGTATGTCATGGTTGGGGATGGGATCTTGTCATACCTTCACCTTCCTGAGTTAATATAACCAACCAACCAAGGTATGTCATGGTTGGGAATGGGGTCTTGTCACACCTTAACCTTCCTGAGTTAATTCAACCAACCAAGGTATATCATGGTTGGGATGGGCTCTTGTTAAACCCTTACCTTTCTAAGTTGGGGTCTTGTCACACCCTAACCTTCCTGAATTAATGCAACCAAGCAACCAAGGTATGTCATGGTAGGGATGGGATCTTGTCACACCCTTACCTTACTGAGTCAATACAATCAATCAACCAGCCAAGGTATGTCATGGTTGGGGTGGGATCTTGTCACACCTAACCTTGAAATGATACAACCAACCAACCAAGGTATGTTATGATTGGGGATATGGGGTCTTGTCACACCTAATTTCCTGAGTTGATACAACCAACCAACCAAGGTATGTCATGGTGGGGGATGGGGTCTTGTCACACCAAACCTTCCTGAGTTGATACAACAACCCAACCAAGGTATATTACGATTGGGAATGGGGTTCTGTCACACTCTTACCTTCTTGAATTAATACAACCAACCAAGGTATGTCATGGCTGGGGATGGGATCTTGTCACACCCTTACATTACTGGGCTAATACAACCAACCAACCAAGGTATGTCATGGTTTGGGATGGGATCTTGTTACACCCTTACCTTCCTGAGTTAATACAACCAACCAACCAAGGTAAGTCATGGTTGATGATGGGGTCTTGTCACACCTAACCTTCCTGAGTTGATACAACCAACCAACCAACCAAGGTATGTTATGGTTTGAGATGGGATCTTGTTACAGTCTTACTTTACTGAGTTAATACACCCAACCAACCAAGGTATGTAATGCTTTGAGATGGGTCTTGTTACACCCTTACCTTCCTGAATTAATACTACCAATCAATCAAGGTATGTCATGATTTGAGATGGGATCTTGTTACAACCTTACCTTACTGAGTTAATACAACCAACCAACCAATATATGTTATGGTTAGGGATGGGGTCTTGTCACACCTAAACTTCCTGAGTTAATACTACCAACCAATCATGGTATGTCATGGTTTGGGATGGGATCTTGTTACACCCTAACCTTACTGGGTTAATACACCAAACCAACCAAAGTATGTCATGGTTTGAGATGGGATCTTGTTACACCCTTACCTTACTGGGTTAATACACCCAACCAACCAAGGTATCTCATGCTTGGGAATGGATCTTGTTAAACCCTTACCTTCCTGAGTTAATACTACCAACCAACCAAGGTATGTCATAGTTTGGGAATGTGTTTATACATGCTACCAACCAATTTATATATCATGTTCTGCCCTACAACCAATCAAAGAGTGTCGTATGGAATGGATTTTGGAAATTCTTATATTTCTGAGTGAATACAGCCAGACCTTCAAATTGTTATTTTTATAGTTCGGGAAGGGATGTCGGCAGTCGCACACTAACCATCAAGACAGCTCTATAAATAAAAAGAGTTGTAGGATAAACTTCAAGGAGACATCAACTCAGTAAAGCAAAAAAAACTAAAAGACGTTTGATTGCTAACATATACTGTTTTCAACAAAAGACCAGTATGAATATAATATGTCAAGCATTGAATACCTCAGAACTAAAAAAGTAGTGAATAAATTTAGCAGAGAATATCACAGATTTTTCCATCGACACCAAATTCCTTAGAGGACAAAATAATGTAAAGATATAACTACCGACTTCTGTGTGTTGAAAGAACAGTAATTTTTACAAAAACTCCTTTCCTGTATCAAAGGCCTCACATTAAGTGACATGGATATCTGTATACCTGATGAGCAATATTAGCTTTGATTGCTTTAAAACTCCTTTTGAAAAAAAATTAAGTCCTATTATCTCAAAACCAACTCTGTGTGGTCTTGTGGTAGCATGTTCTTCGACAAACCGAAGATGTTAAAATTAGTATTTGCTACTTTTCTGCTGAGGACATCGCATGTAGTGAGAGCAAAGACTAGTCTGCACAGAGTCGGAATAATGTGTCTGTCGCTTAGTGTTTTGGTCTAGTACAAAGCAGGGTTAATATTCATATTACATTAACATGTTCTCCTCATGAATATGCTTTTAATTTGTCGCTGGATGTGAAACAGCTATCCATCATAGTCATCATCAGAAAATTACTTTTTCTCATGCTTGCTTCTCCCAGAATATATCGTATTTGTATGACAGTTATGACCTCAAATCATTATTGTGTTTCCTGCCGTCTCCACCTGCCAGTGACTCCTAGTGATCACTTCTTTCTCCTGGCATTGTCCATGTCACACTTTTGTTAATCTGTAATGCTGCCTTGAAAATGGATCAACAGACTTCAACCAAACTTGTACAGATTCTTCTAAAGGACATTTAAAAGTTGTGCACCTGCTATTTTAATTTTTGATCTGCGTGAATATTTGTGTTTTCAAACCAAAACATGGATCAAGGTATTTCTGCTAATATCAGTTTGTTAATTTGCAACTGCTTGAAAAGTGCTGTGCAGATTCTTCTAGAGGACATGGAGTTGTGTATCTGCTATTTTAGTTTTTGATCTAATTGATTTTCTAGGTTTTGCTATTTATGTGACACACCTCTTCCTCAGAAGATTTGAACATTTTGTTTTAGAGCTATTGCATTTGCTTGTCTATAGACCATACCTACACTTCTGAGTTTTAAGTTCCCCAATTGCGGAAATTTTAAGATTGGCTAAGAACAGTACAGTTAGAAGCTAGTATCTGTTTTTATCTTCATATAAGTCCTGTTTGAATAGAACTTCTTCACCTATTTTGCAGAAGAAATAAATAATTTGTAATTTTCAATAAAAAAACCAAGTCTGAATACATGCTTTACAATTTTCTTTATTTTCCTAATTTAAATTTCCCTCAATTTAATGCAGACTATTTTTTATTTTAGCAAAATACAAGAGTAAACAATGTTACATTTATTACAGCCAAAACTAACATTTGGTGTAGTTTTCTAAAAACATATTTTCTCTCTTTTTTTTTTTTAAATGTTAACATCCCAGAACTTATATAAGAATAATACAATATGCTATTGTTAATTAACAGAAAACATTTAATTGATAAACCACACTTTTCTTTAAAAATATGTCTTAAAAACATGTAACATGTACAGAATTGACATTTAAAACATGTAACATGTACAGAATTGACCTTTAAAACATGTAACATGTATAGAATTGACCTATGTTGTTTTTTTACCACAAGAAATGTTTTTCAGCTGTGTGATATTGGTAATCATTTATCAAAGTCGGAACTTGTAAATAAAAATTAAACATATTTTTTATTTAAAACATAATCAGTTGGTAAAATGTGCTGCAAAATGCACTTTAAAAAAAAACACTTTTGTACTGCAAAGCTGCCTTGATGCATTTTTGTTTCCATGTTTTCTCTAAAGTTTATACTTCTTTTAAATAAATTGGCTTGACTTATTTATTTGTCATTTTACCGATGAAAGCTTTATTAGGGGGATGACACTCTTTTGGAATGTTGGATATTTGGGGGGGGGGGGGGGGGGGGGGGGGTAAAAATAAGCGAGGATGTAGGATATGGGGGTAAAAAAGGGATCTGGGAAAAAGAAGGATTAAGAAGTGGGAAAGATTTACAAAATAAGCGGGATTTGTGAAATGAGCACACCTGTGTCATCCCACTCCTTTATTTAGAAAATGTATAATAGTGATAAAACAAAATCAGAATGATTTCTTTTGCAGTAATTTATTTTTCCCTTAAGAAATTTTTTTGTGTGTATGAAGTTGTACTATAATTTCATAAATGAAATTATTCCAAAAATTAATGTTATCAACAAAGATTGCTTCAAATGAACATAAATTGTTATCAGTAAAAACTTAAAAATTAAAGAAAATGATACATTTTTAGCTCACCTGGTCCAAAGGTAGACAAAAGCAGCAAAAATAATCAGCAAGACTTTGGCATTCACACGTTCATATTTTACACAAATAATCTTTTTGGATAGTATTAGTTTTATGTAAAATGCCAGGTGAGCAAGAACAGAATCCTGGTAGCCTCTAGTTACTTCCTCCAACACTAAACTACAGAATAGTTACTGAGCTACTTTTTTTATTATGTAGATTATTCAAGTAATCAAGAATATTTTAACAAATTTTATTTTAATTGTGTTTCATGTTGGCTATATCTGTCTGTCTTTTGTGTTTTATTTCTGTTAATTTAAAAGAAATCATCTTTAGCATGTAGGTCATATGAGTATCGGTATATACGCTAACAAGAGCTTCTCTTTTGTAGTTCATACTTTTACTAATAGATTTCACCAGGTTTTACTCTACAGATATTGTTTCCTGAAATTTGTATCTGTGGTAATAAGAAAATTAAAATTTTCAACAGAAAAAAGGTTTGTTTTATTGCCTTTTCAAAATGAAATTCATAGATGGTGAGTTTTGTTTATATGTAACACTGTATGGTAGAAAAATAAGATTAAATTAAAAAATGTAATTGCAATTTTTTTTTTAGCAAACCATGAGTACTGCAAAATCAGTATGTTTCTCCGATGATAAAATTTTTATTGTTAAGTTGCTTTATCATTAAAAACTCTACATTTTATTCATATCAACCATTAGTTTTCATAGATTTGTTCTAATACTTGTAGGCGTGATGAAACTAAAAAGGTCAAACAGTTATTCTGGATTTGAAATTGACACCATTGATAATGATTTCAAATTAGAAGAAGAGGAGGATATTAAAGAAAGACAAGATCAACTAGATAAGACAGCTCATGAGAATTATTGCAGGTAAAAATAGAGAATATCTTATGATTTTGTCATATTACATTTCTTTTGATTTTGTCATATTACATTTTCTTAATATATATTTTTACCTCACCTGGCCAAAATTGTCAGTTTGAGATATTTTCTGTTGTCCGACAATCACTGCTGCCATTCGTTCCAAAATTTGTTACATTTGTAGCTTCTCTTCTGAAACAACCAGGCCATTTGGAATGAAACTTCAGTGCTATGATCTTTTGTGGTGGTCAAAGCCAAAACCATAATCAAAGATAGTCATAAGAGCCTCTATGTTGTTGAACCATTTTTCACTCTTCTCTGAAACTTCTTTGCAAAAACAGTTGTCTCTGTACAAAACCATATCCAGTATTCCAGACCAATATGGTCATCAGAGTCTCTGACTAAAATACTTTAAAATCTCTCTCTAAAACAACTATGCCAATTAAAACCAAACTTTGGTATAATCATTGTGCAAAATATTAAATGCCAACAATCCTCTGTGGCCCTAATATGATTCAGTTTTCTGATTTCATAATCATCAGAAAAACTTTATAGATAGGTTACAGTAGCGGATCCAGAAATTTTCATAAGATGGGGCCCACTGACTGCCGTAAGAGGTGGGCCCGCTTAGTCATGCTTCAGTGATTCTCTAAATAACAAAATTTTTCCCACAAAAGGGGGGGGCACCCTGCCCCCCACCCCATATCGGCCTCTGGGTTAGAATAATCCTTGTATCATGTTTATAGTTCACATTCAGAATCATTTGCTGTTTAGCATCCAAGATGGCTGGTGTTGCTATAAAATTGGGAAATTGTTTATAGACATCTGATTAGATAACTTGTTTTATGAACTAAACATGCTAGGCAAAAACATTCACATATAATAACGCAGCACAAAGTAGGTTAGTTTGACCTTGACATCCTGTATAGACACTTGTCTTTTTATTTTGATGTGTTGTTGGGTTGCCATATTATTGACATATACCCTACATCTCCTTTTATTCATATTGAAAAATATTATATAATAGTCAGCTTTCTTGATTATTTCTTTGAAATGTCACATATATGAATAAGTGCCTGCTTCTCAATCAAGACCTTCTTCAACCATTTAGCTTGACGAGTGTTTGCCTTATTGTTTACAGAATATTGAAGAGTTTCAGATTTTATTTAAAATGTTGTTTAACTAAACATTTGTTTTGTTATCCATTTTGCAGAATGTTAGATCCTGTTGACAAGAACAAGTATGATGAATACTTGAGATGTTATGCCAACATACTTGACTGCTGGGGTTTAAAGAACCAAAGTAGAGAAGTGATGAAATTTGTTTCAAATGCTCCACCAGAACACAGAGGAATTGGTGAGTTAAAAATAAGAATTTTTGCAATTTTATCCTTTCTCTGACCAATAATATCGTAAAGTTAATAATTTCTTAATCAGCTTAAATATAGAATTCTGGTCATTTTCTTTTTTGCCTGACTTTAGGCATCCAATAAGGTATGTGTAGTGAAAGAAATTATCTTTGTGATAACATGTGTACTGGATCGAATATTTTAACTAATTATCTGCATAGGATAATGCTTCAGAAGTGGGGCTACATTGCAATCACATTGTCTGTCTGTCCATATGTATCCAACAAATATTTTCGTTGTACTTTTCTCAGGTACATTGTTTTACTCTTTGCATTGACATACATAGAAATCCTTTTCAAGATGATTAATACCCATTTTGTTTGTATCCAGACAATAACTTTAGAAAGCCTCCACTTAACCATTTAAAATATTTTTAGGGACCACTGTATGCAGATGTAGATGGAGTTTGATGATTTCATTAATGTCATTCACGAATTTAAGATAAATATGAACTTATAATTAAGGATGGATAAAATCCAAATCATTTGAATTTTTGGGAATGTTTTCAGAGTTAGCGGAACAAGTGTCAAGATCAAATTTGAAGAAATTTATATCTTTCTTTATGGAGATATGCCCCCAATAATGTGATGCTACTCTTATCTACATTATAGATATATAGACTGGGGATATATAATGTGATGCTACTCCTATCTACATTATAGATATATAGACTGGGGATATATAATGTGATGCTACTCCTATCTACATTATAGATATATAGACTGGGGATATATAATGTGATGCTACTCCTATCTACATTATAGATATATAGACTGGGGATATATAATGTGATGCTACTCCTATCTACATTATAGATATATAGACTGGGGATATATAATGTGATGCTCCTCCTATCTACATTATAGATATATAGACTGGGGATATATAATGTGATGCTACTCTTATCTACATTATAGATATATAGACTGGGGATATATAATGTGATGCTACTCCTATCTACATTATAGATATATAGACTGGGGATATATAATGTGATGCTACTCCTATCTACATTATAGATATATAGACTGGGGATATATAATGTGATGCTCCTCCTATCTACATTATAGATATATAGACTGGGGATATATAATGTGATGCTCCTCCTATCTACATTATAGATATATAGACTGGGGATATATAATGTGATGCTCCTCCTATCTACATTATAGATATATAGACTGGGGATATATAATGTGATACTACTCCTGTCTACATTATAGATATATAGACTGGGGATATATAATGTGATGCTACTCCTGTCTACATTATAGATATATAGACTGGGGATATATAATGTGATGCTACTCCTATCTACATTATAGATATATAGACTGGGGATATATAATGTGATGCTCCTCCTATCTACATTATAGATATATAGACTGGGGATATATAATGTGATGCTCCTCCTATCTACATTATAGATATATAGACTGGGGATATATAATGTGATGCTCCTCCTATCTACATTATAGATATATAGACTGGGGATGTATAATGTGATGCTCCTCCTATCTACATTATAGATATATAGACTGGGGATGTATAATGTGATGCTCCTCCTATCTACATTATAGATATATAGACTGGGGATATATAATGTGATGCTCCTCCTATCTACATTATAGATATATAGACTGGGGATATATAATGTGATGCTCCTCCTATCTACATTATAGATATATAGACTGGGGATATATAATGTGATGCTCCTCCTATCTACATTATAGATATATAGACTGGGGATATATAATGTGATGCTCCTCCTATCTACATTATAGATATATAGACTGGGGATATATAATGTGATGCTCCTCCTATCTACATTATAGATATATAGACTGGGGATATATAATGTGATGCTCCTCCTATCTACATTATAGATATATAGACTGGGGATATATAATGTGATGCTCCTCCTATCTACATTATAGATATATAGACTGGGGATATATAATGTGATGCTCCTCCTATCTACATTATAGATATATAGACTGGGGATGTATAATGTGATGCTCCTCCTATCTACATTATAGATATATAGACTGGGGATGTATAATGTGATGCTCCTCCTATCTACATTATAGATATATAGACTGGGGATATATAATGTGATGCTACTCCTATCTACATTATAGATATATAGACTGGGGATATATAATGTGATGCTCCTCCTATCTACATTATAGATATATAGACTGGGGATATATAATGTGATGCTCCTCCTATCTACATTATAGATATATAGACTGGGGATATATAATGTGATGCTACTCCTATCTACATTATGGATATATAGACTGGGGATATATAATGTGATGCTACTATCTACATTATAGATATATAGACTGGGGATATATAATGTGATACTCCTCCTATCTACATTATAGATATATAGACTGGGGATGTATAATGTGATGCTCCTCCTATCTACATTATAGATATATAGACTGGGGATGTATAATGTGATGCTCCTCCTATCTACATTATAGATATATAGACTGGGGATATATAATGTGATGCTACTCCTATCTACATTATAGATATATAGACTGGGGATGTATAATGTGATGCTCCTCCTATCTACATTATAGATATATAGACTGGGGATATATAATGTGATGCTCCTCCTATCTACATTATAGATATATAGACTGGGGATGTATAATGTGATGCTCCTCCTATCTACATTATAGATATATAGACTGGGGATGTATAATGTGATGCTACTCCAATCTACATTATAGATATATAGACTGGGGATGTATAATGTGATGCTACTCCTATCTACATTATAGAAATATAGACTGGGGATATATAATGTGATGCTACTCCTATCTACATTATAGATATATAGACTGGGGATATATAATGTGATGCTACTCCTATCTACATTATAGATATATAGACTGGGGATATATAATGTGATGCTACTCCTATCTACATTATAGATATATAGACTGGGGATATATAATGTGATGCTCCTCCTATCTACATTATAGATATATAGACTGGGGATGTATAATGTGATGCTACTCCTATCTACATTATAGATATATAGACTGGGGATGTATAATGTGATGCTACTCCTATCTACATTATAGATATATAGACTGGGGATATATAATGTGATGCTCCTCCTATCTACATTATAGATATATAGACTGGGGATATATAATGTGATGCTCCTCCTATCTACATTATAGATATATAGACTGGGGATATATAATGTGATGCTACTCCTATCTACATTATAGATATATAGACTGGGGATATATAATGTGATGCTACTCCTATCTACATTATAGATATATAGACTGGGGATATATAATGTGATACTACTCCTATCTACATTATAGATATATAGACTGGGGATGTATAATGTGATGCTACTCCTATCTACATTATAGATATATAGACTGGGGATATATAATGTGATGCTACTCCTATCTACATTATAGATATATAGACTGGGGATATATAATGTGATGCTACTCCTATCTACATTATAGATATATAGACTGGGGATGTATAATGTGATGCTACTCCTATCTACATTATAGATTTATAGACTGGGGATATATAATGTGATGCTACTCCTATCTACATTATAGATTTATAGACTGGAGATATATAATGTGATGCTCCTCCTATCTACATTATAGATATATAGACTGGGGATATATAATGTGATGCTCCTCCTATCTACATTATAGATATATAGACTGGGGATATATAATGTGATGCTCCTCCTATCTACATTATAGATATATAGACTGGGGATATATAATGTGATGCTACTCCTATCTACATTATAGATATATAGACTGGGGATATATAATGTGATGCTACTATCTACATTATAGATATATAGACTGGGGATATATAATGTGATGCTACTCCTATCTACATTATAGATATATAGACTGGGGATATATAATGTGATGCTACTCCTATCTACATTATAGATATATAGACTGGGGATATATAATGTGATGCTCCTCCTATCTACATTATAGATATATAGACTGGGGATATATAATGTGATGCTCCTCCTATCTACATTATAGATATATAGACTGGGGATATATAATGTGATGCTCCTCCTATCTACATTATAGATATATAGACTGGGGATGTATAATGTGATGCTCCTCCTATCTACATTATAGATATATAGACTGGGGATATATAATGTGATGCTACTCCTATCTACATTATAGATATATAGACTGGGGATATATAATGTGATGCTCCTCCTATCTACATTATAGATATATAGACTGGGGATATATAATGTGATGCTCCTCCTATCTACATTATAGATATATAGACTGGGGATATATAATGTGATGCTACTCCTATCTACATTATAGATATATAGACTGGGGATGTATAATGTGATGCTACTCCTATCTACATTATAGATATATAGACTGGGGATATATAATGTGATGCTACTCCTATCTACATTATAGATATATAGACTGGGGATGTATAATGTGATGCTACTCCTATCTACATTATAGATATATAGACTGGGGATGTATAATGTGATGCTACTCCTATCTACATTATAGATATATAGACTGGGGATGTATAATGTGATGCTACTCCTATCTACATTATAGATATATAGACTGGGGATATATAATGTGATACTACTCCTATCTACATTATAGATATATAGACTGGGGATGTATAATGTGATGCTACTCCTATCTACATTATAGATATATAGACTGGGGATATATAATGTGATGCTACTCCTATCTACATTATAGATATATAGACTGGGGATATATAATGTGATGCTACTCCTATCTACATTATAGATATATAGACTGGGGATATATAATGTGATGCTCCTCTTATCTACATTATAGATATATAGACTGGGGATGTATAATGTGATGCTCCTCCTATCTACATTATAGATATATAGACTGGGGATGTATAATGTGATGCTACTCCTATCTACATTATAGATATATAGACTGGGGATATATAATGTGATACTACTCCTATCTACATTATAGATATATAGACTGGGGATATATAATGTGATGCTCCTCCTATCTACATTATAGATATATAGACTGGGGATATATAATGTGATGCTCCTCCTATCTACATTATAGATATATAGACTGGGGATATATAATGTGATGCTACTCCTATCTACATTATAGATATATAGACTGGGGATATATAATGTGATGCTCCTCCTATCTACATTATAGATATATAGACTGGGGATATATAATGTGATGCTCCTCCTATCTACATTATAGATATATAGACTGGGGATATATAATGTGATGCTACTCCTATCTACATTATAGATATATAGACTGGGGATATATAATGTGATGCTCCTCCTATCTACATTATAAATATATAGACTGGGGATATATAATGTGATGCTCCTCCTATCTACATTATAGATATATAGACTGGGGATATATAATGTGATGCTCCTCCTATCTACATTATAGATATATAGACTGGGGATATATAATGTGATGCTCCTCCTATCTACATTATAGATATATAGACTGGGGATATATAATGTGATGCTCCTCCTATCTACATTATAGATATATAGACTGGGGATATATAATGTGATGCTACTCTTATCTACATTATAGATATATAGACTGGGGATATTTGTCCATCTGTGTCTTTATTTATTTTTTACTCCCCACCTAGGGGTATTATGTTTTTCGGTCTGTGCGTCTGTTCGTCCGTTCATCTGTCCGTCCGTTTGTTTGTTCGTCCATCTGTCCCGCTTCAGGTTAAAGTTTTTGGTCAAGGTAGTTTTTGATGAAGTTGAAGTCCAAACAACTTGAAACTTAGTACACATGTTCCCTATTATATGATCTTTCTAATTTTAATGCCAAATTAGAGTTTTGACCCCAATTTTACGGTCCACTGAACATAGAAAATGATAGTGCGAGTGGGGCATCCGTGTACTATGGACACATTCTTTTTCTCCTTATTATATCTTTTTTTTTCAGAATTCAGTGTGTATTGCTACAAATGTAACCAGCCAGTCCGTGGAGCACAATGTCTATCATGTAAATACCCAGCATTCAATTGTGCAATATGTCATCTAGGGGTCAAAGGTCAGTATATTTACATAGTGATCGATATTTTTCTTTATACTAACTTATATATAGGCAATGCTTGTGGATAAGACTTGACATAAAAACCAAAACACCATTGTTATCTCTGTACTCAGATCTAATGCATTTCATTTTGTTTAGTAACATTTCCTCCCATTCCAATTCTTTGTAGTAGTATGCTGCTTTTATTTCTAGAGTGTGGCATTTAGGATTAAGAGCTCAGAGTCAGAATAATGTGTCCAAGTAGGGCGACATATCTTTACCTTGTGAGCTAGCAAGAATAACTCAGCATGCAGGTCTTAGTAGTACAAAGTAGGGTATACTCATATCTCATTAACATGTTATCGCCCTGAATATGCATTTAGTATTTGCTGATGGACGTAAATCATCTGTTTATTCATTCATCTAAAAATGTCTCTAAGCATAATTAATTCTGTGTCTCTAAGCATATTTAATTATGTGAAGTAACAAAAAATGATTTCATGAACAATTATGACAGATTTTATCAAAATTATAAAATTCTGAAAGTAACTACTTTATATAGTATACTAATAAATACATATCAACAAGAAATAAGTGTTGTCAAGTTTAAAAAAAAAGAATTCCATAGTCTCTTTGAAAGCATGGCCAAAGAAGCCATTATAGTCTAGTCAATTTAGTGAACAACCTGCAACTAATTGCAACACAAAGTTTTTCTCTGAAAAACAAGTCTGTTACTATCTATGAACAACATACTAAAACTATACAAAAATATATTTTGCGGAAAGTGGTGTAATTCATGTAAGTATTTTTTAGTAACAGTAAGGTTATATGAGTTGCTTCCCCTTATTTGCCAAAATTGAAAAAATAAATTTATACAAAAAAATGTTCTGTATTTTTTGAAACAGTTGTAGTAATACAATACAATACATAATTATCTCAATTCAAAATAATAATATCACAAATGCATCACTTTCCTGTCTCAAAATTTGTATATTTAATTAAAGATATAGACCGAGATTGTGTTCTGCTATTTTACAATCCAAGAATCTAATTCTCCACCACATTGTTGGTATGTAATCTATAAATGGAACACTGTACTGAGATAAATTAGCCAACTTAGTCACAATCTTACTCAGTATTTGAAAGAATTATGCCCCTGTGTTAAGGCATGAACAGTCAATTTTAAGTTGGGGGAGGGGTTCTCGAAACACATGTTTTGTCCTTTATAAAAAAAATGCTTTTGCAAGACTTAATTTTTAAAATTCAAAGTCTTTAATGAATTTTTTTCCACAACTTTATAAAGAAAACATTTTTTTTTGTATTCTACTTCTTGAACAAACATGTTAAGATTTAGAATCCAACAATGTTTTTCATAAAAAAAAAATAAGAATGATGCGTGTTAAATGATTATATGTTAAATATTTTTTCACAAATGAAAATTTCAGGCTCCTCGAAGCAAATAACTACTCATGTAATTAGCGACCATCTCAGTATTCACACACCATATAAATAAAGCTTTGGCTGTAACACTGAACCCACTTTTCACTGGTTGCTAATCGGATGTGTACTGATTTATATTTCAATCGGTGCCAACATTATTTGTTCATCAACTGTAATAAGCTTTGAACTAGCAATTAGAACACAGTGTCACTTTGTTAATTGGTTATATACTCCATGCTGATCTTTTTGAGTCGAGCCCTTTCCAACTGAGTTTTACAATTGTACTTATGTTGTTTGCTATTCAAAACTGTTCCTGATTATGGGAGGGCTGAGTGCTCGCAAACATGGTCAACCCTGCACACTATGAATATGATGATCACAAGTAGTGGCCCTTTATTACTTGCATGATGGTTATTGTTTGCTGTCTGTCATTTGTTTTTCCATTTATTGTCTTAACAGTTTTATATTTAAACGATGAGCTATTATAGTTGTTAACATGCACACCCACATCATAGCTATCTCATCTGGAAAGTTTTCTCATTGGTAATCATACAACATCTTCTTATGTTTTTAATTTGGGGAGATTTTACAATAAACTATGGTTTCACTGGCAAGTGATCAAACATACTACCAAGAGATCACTGATAAAGTTTAGTCAATTTTAAAAGCTAAACATGTATCATGTTTATATTATTTAGGCATGAGGTGTATTTTTTTAAATATCTTTTCAGTCTGATTCAAATGAGTTGAATACAGGTCAGTACATTCCGGAGGCAAAAACGGTGTCTTTAACATTGATATTTCTGTAATAGAGTATAATTATGAATAAAGAGAGATTTGAGGTTTTTAAAGTCACTGAGAAAGCAACCCAAACGACTAACAAAAACCAACAGACATAATTTCAGATTAGTCATGAATATCTAAACGCTATCTTTGGCCATAAGTCGCCCACTTTTTTACAGTTCTTAGGCTATGGCTGATTACCTTTTATTAAATTAATTCAATGAGATATCTTAAAGAAGGAACTTGGTAATGCTTTTAACCATAATATTTTCATACAGCAGGCAACCCATGTTAGTTCTTTTGTTCCTGTAAAACATACATGTTTAATTCAGGGTACACACAAAAGGCGCTGTTACTATTAACACTTCCTCCAGGAAGTGATCCCATCAATTCATTCAACAGTGTTATCTCATTTTCAACATCCAGAATTGGACCACTTTGGTACAATTACTATTTAAATTCAAGCTCTTGAGGTAAACTTATAATCATATTGACAAAGCTTCCCTTGAAATAGCCTTTAACAGGAACAGATCTACATTTCATGCTAATTCAGTGAACTAGTATATGTTTCTAAATTTAAAAAGCTTAAATATCTAAAATTAAACGAAGATATTGATAGAGCTTGCTAAAAAAAACTGTCTGTTTTAACTGTGACTTTATGCAATTCAAATGTTGAAAAAGTAGCTAATGAAAACATACTCAAAAAAGGACTACAATCAATGACGATGCAAGGACACTAGAAAAATAACTCTTCCAGCAATTACATGGCCGAAATCAGAGTCAGTAACTAAAGTGATTAATTTTACAGTTATTTTTTAACACTATATAAATAATATAGCTGAGAGGGTGATAGAGCAGATTGTTACCCCGAGAAAACATTGTCAACTGAGGCGAAGCCAAGGTTGACAATGTCTTTTCGAGGGGTAACAATCTGCTCTATCACCCTCTCAGATATGTGTTATTTAATTTATTATACTGAATATTCTCTTATTACTGTCAATTAAATTTCAAATTCAAAGTAATAAACTATGACGTCTTGTACATTACAAACGTCCGTATTTAATAAAGCGCACACTTGATCAAGTGTCTCTGTGAAGGGTAATAGAGTATTTGCCATAGGATAGAGTCGTATTTAATAAAGCGCACACTTGATCAAGGGTCTTCGTGAAGGGTAATAGAGTATTTACCATAGAATAGAGTAAATTAACACCCTCGTATAAACCAATCAAAATATTGCATTTTTACGTGAAGTATAATAAAATCATTTGTTTTGATTATTATACATACACGTATAATTACTATAAATACATAACAGAAACATAAGATAAAAATTTCAAACTTCCACAAAATGCACTTCTTTAAAATGAGTTTTACTGTGTGTTTATTTATTCTACATTGTCTAAAGAAACTAGGGTAGGGTGAGTTCTCACACAACATGTTTTACCCCAGCCACATTATTGCACCTATCCCAAGCCAGGAACCTCTAGCCTTTGTTTGTCTTGTGTGTTTTTTGTTGTTTGATAATTTTGGTTCATTTGTATGTATTGGAGTTTCAGGAATGGTGTTCATTTCGCTGAACTAGTGCAAACCATCATTAAGGGGTCCGCTGAAGCCCACCTCCGTGTGCTGGATTTACTTGCTATGTTAAAGACCCATTATAGTGGCCTTGTTTTTTTCTTTGACACATTCCCTGTTTCCATTCTCCATTTTACGTTTTTAAAAGTCAAACTGGAAATAACCAAGATTTTTAAATTCTCATTTTTTTTTTGCCCCACACTTAGGGGTATTGTGTTTTTCGGTCTGTGCATCCGTTCGTTCCTCCATTCGTCCGTCTGTCCTGCTTTTATTAAAGTTTTTTGTTAAAGTTTTTGGTCAAGATAGTTTTTGATGAAGTAGAAGTGCAATCAACTTGAAACTTAGTACACATGTTCCCTATGATATGATCTTTCTAATTATACCCCACGCAACGAGTTGTGGAGGGTATAATGTTTTTTACCCGTCCGTCCGTCTGTCCGTCAGTCCGTCAGTCCTGTTTCTTGTCATCGCAACTCCTCTCAAACCACACAACAGAATTTCACGAAACCTTTTTAGATAATAAGGACATACTATGTAGTTGCGCATATCAACAGGAAATTGCGATTCAATTTTTTTTTTAGGAGTTACGCCCCTTTGAACTTATTTACTTTAATGTACTACTGCAACAGTTTGTCATCGCAACTCGTCTGATACCACACAACAGAATTTCATGAAACCTTTTTAGATAATAAGGACATACTATGTAGATGTGCATATCGACAGGAAATTACGGTTCAATTTTTTTCCTAGGAGTTACGCCCCTTTGAACTTATTTGCTTCAATGTACTACTGCAACAGTTTGTCATCGCAACTCCTCAGATACCACACAACAGAATTTCATGAGACCTTTTTAGATAATAAGGACATACTATGTAGATGTGCATATCGACAGGAAATTATGGTTCAATTTTTTTTCTAGGAGTTACGCCCCTTTGAACTTATTTGCTTCAATGTACTACTGCAACAGTTTGTCATCGCAACTCCTTAGATACCACACAACAGAATTTCATGAAACCTTTTTAGATAATAAGGACATACTATGTAGATGTGCATATCGACAGGAAATTACGGTTCAATTTTTTTTCTAGGAGTTACGCCCCTTTGAACTTATTTGCTTCAATGTACTACTGCAACAGTTTGTCATCGCAACTCCTCTGATACCACACAACAGAATTTCATGAAACCTTTTTAGATAATAAGGACATACTATGTAGATGTGCATATCGACAGGAAATTGCGGTTCAATTTTTTTTTCTAGGAGTTGCACCCCTTTGAACTTATTTGCTTTAATGTACTACTGCAACAGTTTGTCATCGCAACTCCTCTGATACCACACAACAGAATTTCATGAAACCTTTTTAGATAATAAGGACATACTATGTAGATGTGCATATTGACAGGAAATTATGATTCAATTTTTTTTTCTTATACAATTTTTTTTTCTTACACATATTTTATTCCTCCAATGACAATGTGGGGAGGTGGGGTATGTGAGCGCGCTTACTAAGGTTCTTTAATTTTTTAATGCCAAATTAGAGTTTTGACCCCAATTTCACGGTCCACTGAACATAGAAAATGATAGTGCGGGTGGGGCATCCGTGTAGTATGGACACATTCTTATTTTGTAAATAGTTCGTTAAACAAAATATTTCACACAACAAGTTGATTATTATTGATATCCATAACAAGAGGAATACATATGCATATAAACATAAGATAATATAAAGATCCTATGTTAAAAGTTTTAACCATGAATAAACGAGTTTTTTATTTTTACAATATTTCTCTACAAATCACATTTTACACAAAAATTACAATTTTTTAAAAATACTAATTACTATAGGACTTCTTAAGATAAACATCAGATGGTATTTTCTATTTAGATCCCAATTCTAAAGTTTTAACCACAAATAACCGAGATTTTTTTCATTTCCAGTTATTGGGTTTTCTGTCTTAAAACATATATTCAACCAAAATTACCCAAATACTAATATTGATAACTAAAGGACTTCACAAAATAAACATAAAATAGTATGTTCTTTTTTTCTATATAGATCAAATTTTAAAAATATTAACCATTAACAAAGAGATTTTCTACGTTTCCAGTTTTCCACGTTTTTTTCTTTAAAAATCACTCATTTCACCTCAAAATTACTTCAATATGAATAATACTAACTAGAGGACTACATAATAGTCGATTAAGATAAGGTTTCCTGTCTTCAACAAGCTTTAGGTCTAAAAATTCTTTTCCAGTTTTCAGCATTTTTTCTTTAAAAACCACATATTTCACCCAAAAATAACCTTTTCCGCAAATTATATCAATGTATAGTTTTAGTATGTTGTTAGTACAAGTCTATATCAGAATTTGCACTAAAAAAAGCTTGTGTTGCAATTAGTTGGAGGTTGAGTGATTTTTAGAGCTAAATTGACTAGGCTATATTATATGAAAATATAGTCAAAGACTATATAAAACACACAAATTTATTTGTTCAGACCAATTTAACTGCTCAAATGTATAAACTATAGCAATAAAATTACTTTTGAAAAGCCCAGTTAATACATGCATTCTCTTGTATGCAGATGTTTTCTAAAATGTAGCTTGCCCAAATCATTTGTTGAAATTTTACCTTAGTCATAGCTATGAAATTCTCACAGATATGTATTACAGCTAATGTTCAAGATTAATTTCAGTTTTATTGTATGAACTACTGAGATTTTATTAGCTTTCTAAACATTAACTTAAATACATATTAACCTTTTAAAATTTTAACACAAAAATATTAACTATGACATTCAGGTTAAACTTGATATTTGCAGATATGACACATATTGTTCAAAAAAAATATTAGGAATTGTCAATGAAAGTTGTATTGTACCTTTTAACAGACTATTTTGAAAACTTTACATGATGTCGGAGACCATAAATAAAAATATTGTCAATTTTGTCAGATTTAACTTTTCCTGTTCAAGACTATTGCCCCTGTAATTTAGAATACTATTTCTGGAGTGATAAACCTTTCTTTAATGGTAGCTGTTGTCTGGGGTATTTTTGACCACTTGTCTTAATTCTGATTACTATCTGCAAATGAATCTTTGTATACAGAAGCTAATAAAGTTTGTTTCATTGAAATTTATTGAAGACTCAGTTTATTAGACATGTATATTTTGGGGGCCTCAGTGGGCGAGTGGTCTAAGTAGTTCAACTACTGTACCACATGCCAACACTAAGGTTGTGAGTTCGAGCCCCGTAAGTGGTAGGTGCGTTCGACTCCAATCTTTATTGACTCTGATTGCAAGGTTCCATTGAAAAGTGGCATTAAAACACCAACAAATCAATCAATCAATCATGTAGATTTTGTAATCTTTTTATTTTTTTTGTAGGTTTATCAAACTTTTGTCTTGCTTGTGGACATGGTGGTCATACTGCCCACTTAACAGAGTGGTTTAAAGTGGAAAATGAATGTCCAACAGGATGTGGATGTCAGTGCTTAAAAGCCAAAATACATATAAGTTTACAGTAGATAACATGGATTTGTTAAGAAGTTTCCTATCATGGATAATCCTTAATCCGAGGATGGATATGACGGAAATGATACAAATAGGTTTACTTCAATCTTGTCGATTTTAGAGAAGTTAAATATGAAGGCCATTTTTATTTTGAGGATTGATGGAAAAGGATAATGACCAATGGCTATTTTTATTTTGAGGAATGATGGAAAAGGAAAATGACCAATGGCCATTTTTATTTTGAGGATTGATGGAAAAGGAAAATGACCAATAAGTTTACAGTATTATATCATGAATCTGTATGGAAGTTACATGTATTATTTAACTGTTTTGAAGATGGATTAGAAAGTTGTGTGTCTTACATGGTCAACAGAGTGCAAGTATTGTGAGTCATTGAAAGAGTTTGTATTGCATTAAATATTGCTTATTAATTCACTTATTCACTTGAAAAATATTTGACACAGTCATTTTTCAAATCAGTCATACAACAGGTAATACTTATCAGTATTATAAGAGAAGAATTAGTCACAAGAAGGTAACAAAAAAGTCCTCAGTTGATGGTATGAATGTGAGGTCTAAAGTAGACAGATGTTATGTTAGTATGTCCTGAGTTAATGGTATGAATGTGAGGTTGCAAGAATGATTGTACTTAAGATGTCATGTAATGTAATACCATTGTCTTTCAAAGTTGTTTGTTGTAATAAATGATATTTGTTATTAATGTTTATAATATTTCATAATTATTGATCAAATTGGAGGTTTCCATGTGATTGACTCTCTTTATTTGTCTTTAATTTTTATTTAATCATGAAAATCAAACTAGCAATTCTGAAATCCTTCAAACTTTTATAGTTTTCTGAACCTATATAAAAAACTTTTATAGTTTTCTGAACCTATATAAAAAGAAATGGAGAATGTGTCCATTGGACACATATAAATTCCCCTCTTGCATATAACGTTATAAAGTGACATAACTCAAGAACAGTAAAAGTGACTCCACCCTAATTCGAACTTGATCTGTGATTAGTGGTAATAAGCATTATTTATAAGTTTCATATCATTAGTTTTAGACAAACTTAAGTTAGAGAACGGAAACGAAATACTCAGCAATTTTTCCATTTGTAAAGGGCCATAACTCTAGAACGGTAAAAATGACACCACCGAAATTCAAATTTGATCTGTGTTTTGTGGTAATAAGCATTGTGTATAAGTTGTGGAGACATCTAGGAAACAGCATTCTTTCTCTTTCATTGATTGTTGGTTCCTTAACATACAGTGGCAACTATTTCTTGCATGTTCTAGACGACCTCTTTCAAATGTCCATGCTATATGTCTAGATCTTAAAATCGTGAGTCATGAGATGTTATTAATGAATTGAACAGGCCACTTCAACTGGGACTACATGTATATCAAATCTACCATCAATATGTGGGGTATTCATGAGGGTCTGGATGGGGAGTTCTTTATTTTTATGCCCCCGCTGTAGAGGAGGGGGCATTAAGTTTTAGCGTTGTCCATCCATATGTACGTACGTACGTCCATATGTCCCAAAATTGGTTTCCATTCTCTAACTTTAGTTTGCCTCAACTAAATGGAAAAATTGCTGAATTTTTTGTTTCCGTTCTCTATCTTTAGTTTGCCTCAACCAAATGTTATGAAACTTATACACAATGCTTATTACCACAAAATACAGATCAAGTTTGAATTTTGGTGGTGTCACTTTAACAGTTCTAGAGTTATCCCGTTTACAAATGGAAAAATTGCCGAATTTTTGTTTCTGTTCTCTAACTTAAGTTAGCCTAAACCAAATGTTGTGAAACTTAAACACAATACCTATAACCACAAAACTCAGATCAAAAACAAATTTGGGTAGTGTCACTTTTACTGTTCTTCAGTTATGTCCCTATATATCTTTACATGATATGCAAGTGGGGGCATCATCTGTGTCCCATGGACATATTCCCCATTTTTTCATACCGTTTTTCTCTATTCTTTGATTATTTTGCTCATAATTTTCTATTCTTTATTATTTTTGCATATTTTTCTCTATTCTTTAATTTATTTTGCCCTTTATTCTGCAGCTATTTCCCATTATTCTCTATTCTTTAAACCCTATCCAGACCCTCATACATCAAAGAGAGAACAATTCAATGACAAAAATAACCAATGGATTGTGAGAATTCAACCCATCACCCCTTTTTGTCAGAGGAATGAAAAAACATAAAGAATATGCATAGATACATGTGTACATATGGCTAAAGTCACTTTACAAAATACCTTGTATTGTTTAAACTGTCAAATTATTTATACATCTTGTCAATCAGCAGTCAAAATTAGCCTTAAGAGGATTCTTTAGCTTGTTCATTTACATTGTACTGTATTTGTACATTTTCGAGTATAATTAATTTCAAATATAAGGTATTAATTAACAAGGATTTATTTTAATCTGGAATAATTTTCAATTCTGGAAAATTGATAAGAAATGTGTGATGAAAACTAACTGAATTAAGGGGGGAGGGGGTAGTTAGTTCATACTGAAATTTCAGTGAAAGGAACCTGAACCTTGGCCATGTGTGCATACAAATAAAAATCTTATTTTCATATAAAGTAAATGATAAATCAGAATTCATGCAGTTTCATGTCAAGAAAAAAAAAGTTCCAATATACCATTTCTATATTTTAATAGAAGATAATACATATAAAAGATAACAGGAATCACCAAAAATATTGGACAGTACAACTGACCACACCAAAAATACTGGACAAAACAACTGACCACACCAAAAATATTGGACAGTACAACTGACCACACCAAAAATACTGGACAGTGCAACTGACCACACCAAAAATAAAATACTTGCAGATGTGCAAACAAATACTGATATGAAAGTTGTACATTCTCAAAAAAAAAATAGTTTGATAATTATATCCTTCCCATTTAACTTGAAATAAAGGATACCAAAGATATGCTAGGTCGGCTCTAAGACATAATGTATTAGTTTTCCTCTTCCCAGGTAGGTTTAACCTTGATTTACACCAATGAAATGCCATTGAGGTCCTGTTGAAAAGTTGACTTTTAAGAATGAAGTGGGGAGTCCCGTTTCCGATTAATTTTCAACTGAGACTACTATTCTGTTTATAGAGCAAGATCATGTATCTTTCAGTTGATGCTATATTCCAGCAGATGTTTTTACTGTCGGTATTCCTTGATAAGTGGTTGCTGCTACAAAAGATGCTACTCAACCACATACTCTTAATAGTAAAGTTGAAATTCATGGTTTTTATCTGTAAGGGTCAATGTCACGAACTTAAGACTTCTTCTCATCAGATCATACGTACCCAAATTTTTCAGTGTGGTTCATGATATTACTCAAATTTCTTGAAAGACACGAATAAATTCACATTTCCTTTTAGATATAAAATGTGCTTATATAATTTCGGTTTTATGGCTTTTCAGTTGCTGCCAATAATTGTTCTTCAATTCAAAAAGGTCCAAGCCATCATTCTTGTTTCATTCATGGTCATTAACTTTTATCAACGTCGTTTTACAAGCTGCAGTTGTCAAGGACATGTACTTAAGACTTACATTCCGAAGTACATAAGGATACATTGTAGTCTTCCATATGGAGGCTCAAATAAATTTTCTATATCCATATATTCATTTAAAAAAAATCATTATTTCTTTCAGATAAATGAAATTTTACCGTAGGATTTTTTTTTTATTTATTTGTGCCTGTTATATTTCTTACAAGTTATTATTATTCAAATAAATGCCTATATGTATGAGCATAAAATTATGACGAAAAAAATGCAGACCACTTAAATCAATAAGAATTCCAGCTATTGTTCTTGAAATTCACATGAGAGATGAAATTATCCATGTGATAAATCTTCATATCAACGGATTACATTTCTGAATCTCTTCGTGACTGTAAATTTTAAAGACTGTATAAGTAATATTTCAAAGAAATAAAGTTTTACTGCTCTATAGCATATTCTATAATATCTGAGATTAAACTAATTTGTTATAAGTACATAAGTTAACAAATTTCATACAGTTCCGTTATTTTGATTGTCCGAGTCGCTCCAGAAGAGAGGCGAAAGGTATCAAAGGGAAATTCAAACTCATAAGTCGAAAAGAGACTGACAATGCCATGGCAAATAACTCAAAACGAACAAAAGAAAAATAACAGTATACAAAACACAAGATCGAAAAACAAAGAACTGAGCAACACGAACCCCACCAAAAGTTTTTTTTTCAGTATAAAATGCAACCTCTATGACCGTATACGTGCTCTCTTTGATAGCGTGAAAGTAATGCATATAAAAACAAACAAAAGGTTTGATTAAACTTGTGTTTTCATGGTTGTAGCATAAAAAATGTATTTATAGGAACTGAATGCGTCTTTTTGTAATTTTGTAAAAGCTTTGAACGTGCGCACGCTTAGTATGAATTCCGCGCTTCATACAAAATGCTTCGGTCAACGCTTTTAACACCCCAATAAAAAAGAAGCGTTCAATATAAATGTTGGGCCAATTTCCACTTCTTTTTTTTTTACTCGAGGGGTCAAAATCAGAAATCTGTTAAAACCTCACTCATAGCACTCAAATTTAGAAATACGCAATGATGTTAGAACCTCAAAGTTCACACATGAGGCTGCCATACTGTGAATTTTATATAGATTTGAATACTTTTAAAAATTGGCCGTGATCGAAATAAGTTCAGGGAAATTGACCCTACCTCTTTATTTTGACCGGTTAAAATTTGTTCCCGAATGTCCCCAAGTCCTTGTGTGATAATAAACAAAAGATGCGTCATATGCCCTGAGCAGATGAATTTTAAGTCAGTACAAGTACTTGTTTTTAGGTGCAAATAAAAAAGAAACATTTTGTATTTCGTTGTCAATGAAAAGTGCTGAGAATAACATATTAACTTGCTTTTGTCATATATATTTTTGGTAATTTAACCTTAGGGTAACATACTTTAACATCCATTTAATTTAATTTTAATCAAACACGTTTTGATTTAATTTCATAGAATCTTCTCTTTTGTAATGTATATATGGACTGAAATTCGAATAGCTATTCTGTCGTACCTCAATAATAAAAATGCTCAACAAAAAAAAAGCGGTTGAGATTTGCATTACACTCGAGGAACAATTTTGAGATTTGCATGTACACTCGAGGAACAATTTCTATCGAATTTCAGGAGAAAGCTCATATCATTGTCCCTTGGTTTCAGTAGGCTTCACCTGCCATTTTAGTAAGATATTCCGAAAAATCATGATTCGAATTATTTCATTGATTCTTCGAATTAAGCGAAATAATGAAAGAAATATCTGAAATACAAAAGTTGCAAGCATTGTCGGATAAAAATTTCAGTCACATGGCATTCGATCAATGTTGAATTTGGCAATTGTTCTCGACGCTTCATTTACCCACAGGTACTACACGAGATTATAACACTGAATTTAGTATGTATACATGTATATAGGTTTGAACTTTGTATTCAATTTAGACTTTTACATGTATGTAGTACTACATATATTAAAAAAAAAATCTCTCCTTGTACTCGCGCACTTACCAAGTGTTTGTTAAAAATAACAGAACCAGATAAAACCTTTCAATCTTCGAAGTAAAGTGTGGTTTTACCCCCACTAGCAATATGTTGACTATCTTGTTAAAACCTACACCATTTCTGTTTTAATACTGAAAAGTTTACAGTTCTAGGTCAAGAGTTATTTATTCAGCAACACTCTTTGTATCCAGCCTGACGTTTTTATTTTCTAGATTCTAACGGACTCTTCTGTAAAAAGCAATGAACAAGAGATTTCAAACTCATTCAGAAAATGTTACAAAGTTTGTTTATTCGTTTTTTATGTCCTTACATAACACGGAACCATAAAGATAGATTTATATATCCATATATACAACAAGCATAATAAATCCTCAAAGATGGGCCATTTTTTACGTGGTCAGGTCTCACGATTATAGCTATTAATGACCTTGAAGCTTGTTTTACTGCGTATTACAGGAAATAAAGACATGTCAAACATTACTCCTCTTCAAAAGAACATTCAATAAAATGTTTGTTAAATAATTTTAACGAGTGTTGATTTTAATAGTTTATGACAATTTTCCGAATTAAGATGAATGACAAATTTATAATTTTCACTCACATGATCGGAGTCAGACATGGCATACATTTAGCACCTTTTCTTTCTAGTATTATTTAATTTATACACAACAAACAGTTAGCTCCTGGAATTTTTTTGTCAAAAAGGTCAGTATTTGTTTTTCTAAATTGCAATTAATTTTGACTGTTTACAAAACATTAAATTGATAATAGTAAATATATTTCGAAGAAAAAAACTCATGAAGAAAACCGCAATCATGATTTTATGCATGTTCGGCGTAATTTTATTGTCAATTACTATTTTTAGCATCTAGTCATTGAAAAGCTTACTATACATATACAAAGTATAAATCAAAATATATCCTTAAACATATTAAACAATAATTCCAAAAACAAAATACGTCAAATGCAACTCTTTTAGCTGTAGCGAAGGTGGCGTTCTATGAAAGTCACAGAATGAAAGAAGACAAAAAAAAAAAAAAAAAAAATCAAAGTCGAAGTTCGATGTCAGTTCAGCTTTCATGGACTAGCATATACATAAGCTAATATGTACAGCTAAGTTGGTCTGCTTTTCGTTTAATGTCATCTGAATACACATAAAAAAGGTAGGACCAAATTCCCCTATAATATCCTTTCACACTAGTGCCTCCTTTAATAAATCTTTAAATATTTACTACAATTAACAGTATCATATATAGTCTTGTGTATACTATGTGTGGTTGTTATCGCATTGTATTGAATTTTTGAATTAAAATTCAAAATGCTTTTACATCTAGAAAAAAAAGATCAATAAAGAAAGATTTCGATAAGTTCAGAATGTTTATTCAAACATTTAACGTCTTAACCTGTGTGTTGTCTTTCAGTTGCACATTGATTCAATTTTGTCCTGGTTGTCCTTTGACACAAATTTTATAAAAACATGTAAAATTAGCAGTAAAGTACAGAAACTGTTCATAGAACCAATGTATAGCAGTAAAGTAAAGAAACTGTTCATAGAACCAATGTATAGAAGTAAAGTACAGAAACTGTTCATAGAACCAATGTATTCGGAACTGAATACCATTTTAATTGTATAAATGTTTAAAATTTCTTATAAATTAATTTATTCAGATTCAGTCACTCTGTAATATTCAAATTGAACTAGCTTTCCCTAACTTTAAGATTTTGACCATGATGGTAGCGAAACAAATTCAGAGGAAATTGCCAATGCTTCCTTTTTAACAAAAAACAAAAATGTGTCCATAGTACACGGATGCCCCACTCGCACTATCATTTTCTATGTTCAGTGGATCGTGAAATTGGGATTAAAACTCTAATTTGACATTACAATTAGAAAGATCATATCACAGGGAACATGTGTACTAAGTTTCAAGTGAATTGGACTTCAACTTCATCAAAAACTACCTTGACCAAAAACTTTAACCTGAAGCGAGACAGACGGACGGACGGACGGACGAACGAACGGACGCACAGACCAGAAAACATAATGCCCCTCTACTATCGTAGGTGGGGCATAAAAACATGACATATCTTATACATTCTTGACTTTCAAATATTCGGCTTTGAGCGATCCTGATGAAGGGTAAATCCACAGAAGCGCTTGTAATTTATAAAGTGTTATTTTCATTTTTCACTGTTGCAGATGATAATCAGAATTTTTATAGCGTTGTCACTGGTTACCAGCGCCAATGCCATGATTGAAGAGATTTCGGTTCCCCCTAATCTACTGGAATGTTTTCAACATTACGCATCTAAAACAAGTGCCGCCAAGACAGTAGGCCAATCAATTCATTGGATGTGTACCCATTTATTTACATGGCGAGAGTCTGGAGTTAAAGGATGGTTAATGTTTAACATGACCCACGAGGCCAGGGTTTGGTACCATTCGTTGTTACCTGTTATCAATAAAGGTTTTACTGTAAAGAAAAGGAGTGCCCGGATGTCTCGGGGATATCGCATAAGAAAAGAAATTCGTATGATGACCAATAGGGAGAGAGATGACTTCTTTCGAGCAATTCAATTACTAAAAGCTGATTCAGTAAGTAATACGTTTATCTATAATTTACTAATTACATTGATATCTGAAACAACATATGATTTCTAATTCCCAGTCTTTTATTGATTGATTGATTGTTGATTGCTTAACGTCCAGTAGCAAATATTAAAAATGAGGGTATATTGGATAAGGACAGCAACTCTGCCTTGCAACAGGTCACCTATGGACCCCTCAAAGACTTGCTGCAAGGGTTCTTAACGTGCAGAGAGCTTGGCAATATCTCTACACAAGGCTTCGGATTTAACGTCCCCATTCTGACCGGAAGCCCCACTTTGGAAAAGTTTTACTGCCAGTCGGAAAAAGACCAAGAGTGACCATATTTCTATTTTCCAGTCAACCTTTGGGTCCCGGACTTTAAACTTTCTGTTTACATAGTCTTGAATTATTCGAAACACTAAGGTACTTCTACCCCAGCCATATAAACTTTAGCCGAATTTGGCACAACAGAATTTTGGGTCCTCAATGCTCTTCAGCTTCGTATTTGTTTTGGCCGTCCAACTTTTTTCTTAATCGAGCGCCACTTATGTGTCGTAAGTAGATGAAATGCGCGACTGGCATACCAAATTACGAGTTTGTATATTTGATGAGTATGGACTAACCAAATATACCCATTCCCAGTGGTGACATGACATATTATGTTTCTTCAAATTGAAAACACACGAAACATTGTTATTAGACACAAAGACCACGAGATTGAGAACCCATCGAATGAAACATTTGGTAGAACGAGAACAGGATATGTTTTATCAACACACGAACCAAAATATAAAACTATTGGTATAAAATTAAAAAAAAAAACTGAGTAAATTTTTATATGAAATTCCGTAATCATTTCATTTGCGCGAATTTCGTTGATATAAACACACCTATAATACTTTGCATAATGATTATATTCCCTTTTTCAAAACAGGATAACCTTTGACCTGTTTTTGGAAAAAACGCTAAACAAATTATTCGAGATTTTTTTTAATCCATTTATTTTCCCCCTTTTTGCCAAGGAAAATCGAAAGCATTTTGAATTTTAATGAAGGAAACACATTATACCCAGAAACCCTAAGGTAGATCGGTAAAACAAAGTTATGCATGTCTTGCAGACTCATATATAATCAGTGGTAATCCAAAGCTATGAATAGGGAGCATATTGTTTTTGGATTGTCGTAAATTGTTTTAATCTTTCAGAGTATTCAACCAAACAAATATAGTGCGTTAGCAGCATTGCACGAAGGACTTGCTGTCGACTCAGCTCATGGTGGTCCAAATTTCCTCGGATGGCATCGGTATTTTCTGCTAATGTAAGTGCCTGTACCCTTAGATTATCACGGCATAAGCTGGTTATAGATAACATTTAAAAAATCATTATCATTATATGAGGAAGCAGTTAAACGAGCAAACAATGTAAGTAATCCTTTGAAACTAATTTTATTTGTATGTTTTCCCAAGTTGTTTAGATTTTGCTATTTCTTGACAAAAAAAAAGAACAAACACTTGAAATTAAATGAGCACCATAAAAAACCTAAATACTTAATTGCATAAAAAATGTCTTCAAAGAAACCTTTTCATTGAATTTTTTGTCGACAGGTTTGAGAATGCTTTAAGAGAGAAAGTTCCTGATGTGTCAATACCGTATTGGGATTCATCCCTTGATGAACCAATGACAAACCCAAGACAGTCATGCTTATGGAGTGAACATTTCTTTGGTAATGGTGATGGTATTGTAACTGTCGGTCCATTTGCGGACTGGAATACTGCGGTTGGACCGTTAATTAGAAATATGGGGCACTTTGGTGAACTTTTCAGTAAAACAAACATTGCAAACATTATGAGTAGAACATACGTTTCAGAAATAACAGAACCGCTTGGATTACCAGAATATAACATAGAAGTTCAGCATGGAGAAGTCCACAACTGGGTTGACGGACAGTTAGGCGAGTTAAGTACGGCAGCCCATGATCCGGTCTTCTACCTTCATCATGCATTTGTTGACTACTTGTGGGAACAATTTCGAAGACAACAACGCATGCGCGGCATTAACCCAGATCTGGATTATCCCTCCATTGTTAACCATACATTACATGCAGCAAATGCACCTCTAGGATTTGGTAATCTTCAAAATATTGACAGTTATAGCGATTATTTAATTAGTGGTATGTATGAATACATGCCATCACCGTCCTGTTCATTTGAAAATCCGTCTTGTGGTTCTCCGTTCCTTCAATGTGCTGCAAATTTTACAAGCTCGTATTGTGTATCCGTAGACCGATCCGCGCTTGGGATGAGCGCTTCAAATATTCAACAACAGCAAACAATGAATAACAGAGGTAATGTTCAGCGAAGGTGGAAACGACAAACACCGGTGTTCTCCTCCAAAACGTCATGGCAATCAATGAACAATGCGAATAATTTTAATTCAGGTGCAATGTTCCAAAGAAGTTTCCAAAATTCAGTAAATATGATGGGACAGACCAGTCCAGGAACAATGCAACGAATGATGCAACGACAACCTCAGTCTCCCTCAGCTATTTTGGCAGCATCTGGTCGACAAATGATGAACCCAATGAGAACCCAACAAAACCAAGTCGGTGCGGTACAACAGAATATCCAGAACTTTGTAGCATCTAATAGAAGGATGATCGAACAGTCAATGGCTCCGAATCCTCTTAGAGGATTCAGTAATATGCAACATGAAATGACATGTCCGGCTATTCCTGTCAATCGACGTTACCAAAACTCGTTTAATATCAACGGCTTAAGTGATGTGAACCAGTGGGTATATTTACCGGTTAAGATCATATACAAACGTCCGCCAAACTACAATTATAATTCATATCCAATCATCAATGGCGCTTTATCTAATACAAACGATATATACTCTTCAATGGGTTACACCAATCTTCACCAAAGACTGAAAACAATTCAACTGGCAACATACTCCAGTTGTAAAACTTCCACTTCCGGTGCTGGAATGGTTTATGTACAATCAAATGGATTGAATTATCTTGGAACTTATAAAGAATTTGCAATTGTTGATAATCGAATGGCCTTATCTCTTTCAACAACATTCATAGCTGTCAAAAGTCCAGAATTAGGTGTTACAGATGTATTGTTGTCTGCTTTTGATTCTTGTGGAAGAATATGTACTCCTTACTGCCGTAATCCTGCGTCACCAACTGGTGAGTCCCATCCCTGTTCCGGAGCATTACGGGTTACCTCAAATTATCCGAAGTTATATAGTAAAAACTATGGGGACGCTGTACTAACAACATGGAATATGGCGACTGGAAATTGTCCAAAACTAGTAGAAGATCAAGTTTTTGTTTCATTTTATTGTGATTATGTTCAAGAATGGCCATTACCGGGCCAGATGCCAATACAAACACCACCAATGCAACCACAACCACAACCAAACAACCAAGGATTTATGCACTTCTTACCTACTATTCCACCAAATACAGTAAGAGGTATAGTTCCAAGTCACGAAACAACCGCCGTCATCATTGCTAGTAATGTTGGTAAGTTTTAATTGAACGAACGTTATTAAATTTATCAACTGATCAACTCTGTTCAAATAACAAACAAATAAGAATGTTAATACAAAATGCTCAATGAATGAGACTACCACCGACACCACCACCACTATACCATAACAAACAACAACAATAACGATAAACATTTGAAAAAAATATTGATAATAATGATAAAGAAAATAACAAAAAAAATAATCCAAATAATCCAAGCTTTATGGTCTATTAAAAGTCTATTTCTGCACGAGTTTTTCTTTTAGCGCTTACAATTGCTTGATAAATAAATATTACTATCGACGTCACTATGTATACATCCTAACTCAGAAGAAAGCAATACTATGGTGGCCGGTTAAGACCATTTCGCGTTTTCGCCCTTCATATTCTATAGGGCGAAAACGCGAAAACGTGAAATCGCGAAGTCAAAAACGCGAAAACGCTAAATATTTTTTTCTTTCCTTTTTCGCGTTTTCGACTTTGCGTTTTCGCGTTTTCGCCCTATAGAATATGAATGGCGAAAACGCGAAATGGCCTTAACCGGCCACCATACCATACAGATTGACTTTTCAAATCCGAAGACTTCATTACATTGTGCGAGGTGTCACGTGCAGTAACTTAGCTATAAATGTTTTGAATATTAGTGCATTACATTTTTCAGTAACGAATTAAGGCATAAAGGATAAAAATTTGAAGGAAATAACTCTCACATTATAAAAAAAGACTAAAAAAGATTTTATGTAAAAAAAAAGAGTGCTAAATTTTGGTCGTTTGAAATTGTTTTGTTCGCCAGACAGGGTTCACCTGACCTCGACCTCATTTCATGGATCAGTGATTAAGGTTAAGTTTTTGTCCATTTCTCATATACTTTAAGGTCAACTGAGTGTAAGGTGTACATGACCGACTGGCAGGTTTCCTCTGACCTTGACCTCATGGCTCATTGTTCATTATTAAGTTTTTGGGGTTTGGTTTATTATCAGATACTATAAGAAATAGGTCAACTATATTTGGTGTGTGGAATGATTGTATGGGATTCATGTTGTCTGGCAGAGTTAATCTGACCTTGACAACATTTTAATGGTTCAATGGTTAATGTTCAAGTCTGTTTCTCAGATACTATATTCGGTGTATGGTATGAAAATTAACCAAGATAAGTAAATCAGGCGCGACATTTCTGCGTGTACACTCTTGTTGTATATATATATATAACATTCTTTTTTTGAATGATTTCAGCGTGTGATGTTGGGTATGGATGTATAATTGGTGCACAGTGCAGACCTTGCCAACATGGGATTGCCATCAAGTGTCATGGGACATGTTCTTTGTACGCACAGTGCGGCATGGGGACATTTTCGTTCAAACGCTGTGTTGACGGTGGCAAATTTGACGCTGCTACGAGCACTTGTGTTACAGGAACATGCGCTGAAGACGAAATGCCACCGAATTATACAGGATATAAAATGAACGGGGCTCAAACTGTCACTAAACGTACTGAAGTGGGTGGAGATTGATATTAGTTTCAATATTTTTACTAAGGTTGTTGGTCATATACATAGTTTTATTGTAAAATATATTGTTTTATTTACTAAGTGTTTGTGCTCTCTGTGACATAACAGTTGGTAAAATGAGATATAGGTATGTTGTTTTCTTACTCATTTGTTGTTTTACTCATTTCAGACATGTTTGGTAAGATTTGCTTTTATCTATGACTCGTACATGACTAAAAAAAAAAACAAAAAACAAAAACCTGGAAGGCTTACCCTCGGGTGTCAAAGATTATCCAGCATTACACTACTTCTAGTGTTGAATTATTTATTTCTCAGTAGTGCTAATGTAATTTCAGTTAATATCATGTATCTCAGGAATAAACACAATTTTGCTCAAACTTTGAAGTAGGAACTTGTTTACAAACCAAATAACTCCTTAGCGACCATGCAATTAAATTAGTTGAGAAGATTTTTATGAAAATTACAAAAAGTGATTAGGTGAGATATTCTCGTGTGTCCACACTGGAAGTAACCATAGAACGTACAATATGCTCGTGTTCAATCTTTTTGAAACATTCAAATATGTTTTATGCAGCCACACTGAAGCACATTCACTATTTCAGTCAAAGGGAACTAATTTCCCATTAAATTCAATGGATTAATTTAGTCTCACTATTTGTCTTTCATAGTACATGTGTAGAATAGTTTGTTACTTGTTTATAGCACCAGGACCATGGACTGTCAGTGTTTAATTGTACTCGCTTAAGTGATAAACTTATGTTTTAAAATGGCTTTAGCCTTATTGTTGTGTCTTATTCAAATGTTATACAATTTCTAAAGATGACAAGCTAGAATTCAGCCCATCACACGTAATTGTTTTTCCAACTATTAGGTCGTACAAGCAAGATACCAATATTTTACATTCCCGCTTTGAAACCTGTACAATATAATACACTTTCGATGTTTTATATAGACAGGGGCTCTGCAAGTGAAGATTTTCTCATCAAGATTTCTCTACATCGTGTAGATTGCCGTGTAAAGTGACAAGGTGCTTATACTAGTATTTCATAACACTCAGTGTGAAGTCTAAAAGTAATTCAAAGTTTGTTATTAGTAAAACATACTCGAAAATTTCGACATCCATGCTTATGCATTTGAACTAAGGAACAGAATTTAAATAAGTACTACTAAGACAGTACGATCTCCAAGGATAACAAATCGGAGTGATCAAAATAGTTAGAGGGAGCTATCATCCTGTTTTTCATGTGACACGTGTAAACTAACCGAGGTTAAGATAAAGACTTTAAGGTAAAGTCGGTGTGACTGAAGAAAATGTCTTGAGAATTAAAAAAAAAACTACAACTGAGAACTTAAAATAGACGTTACCACACATTTATAACAGCTGGACAATACACATTCCTATATAAAATCAAGATTTACAATAGGCACTGGATGGGATTCTAAGTACTAACAATTAACTTTCATTATTACAAAAAATTATAAACGATGTTTTATCAAATTATATTTTTTTACACGTGAAAAATCATGTCAATCGGCCCAAGTAATCACCAGAACAATGCAATTCAACTACAGTAATCATGTCAGTCAGCCTCAATAATCACAAAGACAATGCTAATCAGCTACAGTTATCACCAAGGTAAACATGTCGGTCAGCCTCCGTAATCACCAAGGTAATCATGTTAGTCCGCCACAATTATCACCAAGACAGTTCGAGTCAGGTATAGGCATCGCCAATGTAATCATGTCTGTCAGCCCCAGTAATCACCAAGACTGTTCCAGTAAGCTGAAGTAATCACCAAGGTATTCATGTCAGTCAGTCCCAGTAATCACCAAGGTAATCATGTCAGTCAGTCCCATTATTCACCAAGACAGTTCCAGTCAGCTAAAGTAATCACCAGAACGATGCAATTCAACTACAGTAATCACCAAGGTAATCATGTCAGTCCGCCACAATTATCACCAATACAGTTCCAGTCAGCTACAGGCAGAGTCAATGTAATCATGTCTGCCATCCCCAGTAATCACCAAGACTGTTTCCAGTCAGCTACAGGCATCGCCAATGAAATCATGTCTGTGAGCCCCAGTAATCACCAAGACTGTTCCAGTCAGCTGAAGTAATCACCAAGGTAATCATGTCAGTCAGTCCCAGTAATCACCAAGACAGTTACAGTCAACTAAAGTATTTACCAAGGTAAGCATGAAAATCAGCCCTAGTAATCACCAATACAATTCCAATCAGCTTAAGTAATCACCAAGGTGATAATGTCCGTCAGCTCGAATAATCACCAACTTGAAGAAAACAGACAATTAAAAGAGAAAGTCATTGAACAGCAATCAAGATCAATGAGGGAAAACGTGTTACTTGATGATTAGTCGAGGACACTGAAGCAATTTTGAAAGAAAATGAAATACAAATAGAAGAGGAAATAAACTTTCTGTGTTGTACACAGACTGAAACTTAAAGAGGACAAGAGGCATAATGGCTAAATTTGTGCGACGCAATGTTCAGTTAAGTGCTGAATGCAAAAACTGAAAGCAAATTCGATCTGAAAACTAATAGATACACAATGCAAATGTGGCCAACTTTTTCCATGAGTCAGTTCAGATAATTTCACCTAACGCGAAAGCGAAATACTTTGTTATTTTATATTTTTATTACTTTATATTCAATTCGTCTGTTTTAACTTAAGAATAATGTACCCTTATGTTGTTTCAATGCTAAACATATGGAAAAAAATCCACAGGCTTTCTCCTTGTACTCCTATATTTGGCAATTCGGTGCTCAAAGACAGAGGATTAATGCATGCAGTGCTAGCAAGGATTTTCCTAAAACAAGTATATACATAAAGATATTGGTTAAAACAAGTATAGAAATGGACTTGTTTAAGTACACATTCTAGGGGGCGCTCGACTTTATTGACTCAGCACGAGTTTTTTTTATTGTAAACGTTGTTTAGGGCTTTTTGTAGACGGTAAATAATAGCAAATCATGAACAAACAAGTGGGTAATCTATGTTTATAATTTTATAACGAAATTCTCTGTAACAAAGTCTGGGTTTTTTTTTGCAAAAATATTAACTTAATTTGCCACCAAATAGATATAGGAAGATGTGGTGTGAGTGCCAATGAGACAACTCTCCATCCAAGTTACAATTTATAAAAGTAAACCATTATAGGTCAAGGTACGGCCTTCAACACGGAGAAAATCCCCATTTTCTAATAAATGCAATGAAATATTTAACAGTATTGCTTTGAACAACGTGTCCCTTTGGTATATGTACAAAATAGTATGTCACTTTTATTCAGTGTATTTTTACTGTTCTGATATTGTAGCACTTTGAAAATTTCGTAATACCCAGGCCTACAGAAGGTGTCATAAACCTTACCATGATGCCTCATTTGTGTTTGATGTCGATGAAACGCATAAGAAAAAATACAGATAGGTATGGATGACAACATAACTATTTTGAAAATGCGAAACTCTTGGAACAAAGTTTACAATTGTTTTAATTTATTTCGAAACACGTGTGTTTGAAATCTTATATAAAATATAATTACTGAACATTTTTCAAAAGAATTTGTATTATATTATGCATTACTTTCAAAAACCTTGAAATGTATACCAAATAAACTCATTTTCAAACTGTCACAACATATATGTCAAACACATCAGCCATGTAGAATATGTTGTAAATAATACTTGTTTAACACAAAACGAGACATGCGTAGGTGTCTCCTTATCTTGTATCCGTTCTTTTAGGTGTTCAAGTAATTTGTTCTCATTAGCAAAAGAATGTAAACATTTTGAAGTTCGGTAAAATAATATAAATGTAAGTTTTAAATCAAATGTTTGAAGTCTGATGATTAAAGGAGAATGTATGATCATAAAGCAATTTTTCTGGTTCATTGAATTCGAAAACAAAGAGGTATTATAATTCCATTAATTATATCCTTCATATTTGATTAAGACATTAGTTAGACGTCCGTATTTACATTGTTGAATTTTGTCTTCCATATTTGCATAAGAGCGTTAAACGTCTTGTACTTTAAGCCAAAAAAAAAGCAAAAAGTTAACTTCATTTTGATCTCATCAGCGGTCAGCTTTTATTGGTGGAGGAACTCGACCTTTGGCAGGAAAACTGAAAATCCAAGTTAATTAAGATTGGAGTCGTACGCATCTTGTGATAAATAATTATCCACGATAAGAGGACTAAGCTTTACCAAAAAAAGATAAATTACCACAAGATGTATTTTAAAAAAATGTCATTGTGAATCTTTTGGGGTAACGTCTTTGTTGATATCTATTTTGTCCCAAAATTACATGTGAAATGGACATTTTAGCTCAAATATTTCAATTTCGGCATGTTTATGACATCAAAGTGACGTTACAAAGGCACTTACATGTCGAGATTATATTAATGACCAATTCAGTTATTATTAAATTAAACACAATTTAGAATTGTTTGATTTTATTATTTTTGCCACTATAGCTCTGAGTCTTATTCAAACGCCTCCTTTTGATCTGTTCATATACTAGTATGCATGTATTACTAATAATGAACCTAGGTGAGGAAATTGGTTAGTTGTACAAAAGAACAGACAATACCATGACCATTATGGAAAAAGGCGAAAAGACCATTCGGACTAAACAGGGAGTCGTAGTTGCTTACCGCTTCTTGTGTGTGTTTATTTAACGATACAATCAAATATCTCAAATCAACCTGTTTCTTTACAAACAAAACTTAGAAATAATAGTAAGGTGAAAGAGAAATATAAATACCCAAACTAAAATCCGTTATTAGATATAGTTACATATACATTTTTATTAAGGACAAAACTCAAATGTATAGTAAAAGGAAGAAGAAAAAAACAACCCGCAATAAATCACATATTGTCGTGGATATTTAGATATATGGAGAAATTATTCAAATGAGAAGAAAACTTTATTTTTCTTGAAAACGTTGTTATGACAAACGACTACCCCCTCCCCCCCAAAAAAAACA